AGTGCTACTGGGGCTGCATTGCACATGTAACAAGACAAAGCCTCGTCCTATACAATAAAAGTGTAGTATGCAAATTGACCGAATGGTGGAATGACCAGTCGCTATGACACGCACTGACCACCAGGGGCAGACACTCAACGAAGGAGCTGCCCCATGGTGCTTAGTGCACTCTCACAGGGGGAGCACTGCTCAGCCAGGAGCCGAGCTCATGGCTGGCAAGCCTAATGGTGGTGGCGGGAGCCTCTCCTGCCTCCACTGCAGGCGGGAGGTAAGGAGCAAGGGGTCCCGGACTGTGAGAGGGATGTCTGACTGCTGGCTTAGGCCCGATCCCTGGCAGGCAGACACCCCCCCCCCCCCCCAGAGGTCCAGGACTGTGAGGGGGTGCAGGCCGAGTTGAGGGACCCCCCCCTCAGTGCACGGATATTGTGCACTGGGCCTCTGGTTCTATGGCAGCTGCTGTTGTGACATCGAGAAAGGTGGGTGAAATGGAAAAGAACGGAAAAACAAACCTTGTCTTTGGGTGCTTTCATCTACAGCTGGAAGACCGGGAACTCCCACTGAAGTTTAGTTTCTAAAAATTCACTTTCTTTCGTCATTGTTTCCCCCTAGGTTTTTCTTTCCAGTTTGACCACAGGCGGTTCAGTTCAGAGCAGAGAGACAAGAGTGACTCACCCAGACAGTGGGATGCTGGGGGGTAGAACAAGGGACTGGAGCCCTGACATGCTAGGACATGGATGAACCGGGAAAACATGCTAAGTGACAGATGCAAGTCACAAGAAGACCCCGTTCTTCCCAGGGACTGCCCGGAGGAGGGCCGTCTGGAGACGGGAGTGGGCTGGGGACAGGGAGGTAGGAGGAGGGGTGCTGATGGCCAGGGAGTGACAGATGTGCTAAAGTTAGCTGTGGTGAGGTTGTGTAACTGCGGGTGTGCTAAAAGCCCCGAATTGCTGGCTTTAACAGGCACATATTACGGCTGTGAGTTATATTTCCTGAGGCTGCAATTTTAAAAGGACACAACAGCTTGACTGAAGATGAAAACACGGTGTTTTCTGTGTGATTTTCCGTTAAGTGACCCAAACAGGCCCTGGGGTGCCTTCTCACTCGGCTCTCAGGGGGTCTCCTTGCTGGCCTCCCCGTGTCCTCCCTGTGGGCGAAGGCGGGGGCCTGCTTCCCGTCGGCCTGGAGGTATCTGAGGGCTTAGCCACGTATGTGACGGCGGCGGAGCTGCTGAGCGGCACTGCGGGGGAGCCGGCCGGTGGGAACGCGCTGACGTGAGTGATTGTGAAGGTCAGGCTCCCGGGTAATCTCGGTGCTGGGCAGCCCCGCGCATGTCCGATAACACCGGGATCAGCCTTATCGCCAGCACGGCCTGCAGGCCACACGCAGGCTGCGCCCGGCTCCCTGGGCTCCATGCTCTCGCTCTGAAGGGGCTCACGGAACGGCACTCTGGGCACTCTGGGCTGAAAGGTTGGTGGCAGGATCTACGGGAGGTCATCTCAGACCAAGTGCAGTGTGTCAGGAGGATGTGGGCACCTCCCACCGGCAATAGCGCCAAGTACTTCCTGGCCAGCAAGGAGAAGGAGAAAGGGAGGTCACTCACCGCCAGCAGTCCAGCCTCTGTGTTCTGTACAGGCTGCTGGGAGCGTAACACGTCAGGCTGGGAAGACTCGTGTTTTCACAGGAGGACTGAGGCCCGTGGTCACTCCCGGTCGCTGTGTCCGGAGGGCCGGTCCTGGGGTGGCCACGGAAAGGAAGGCCTGGGACTCACAGTGCGTGAACACAGCAGACACCCAAAGCCTTTCAGAGAAAGAGAGAAGAAAGAAACGGAGTGTTAACCTCCGACCTCAAACGCCGCTGGTCCCCTGCCCCTGAGCATCCCTGTCTGTCCCTCTCTGTCCCTCTCTTTGCCTTCGGGCATTTAGCAGAGAACTCGGCCGCTGACGTGGGCCAGAAGCTCTCAGGTGACGTCTGGGGTACAGGATGCTGAAGGAGGAACAGCCTTACAGATACACCCACTCCCAGAACAGACGGATCTGCACCGCGGCTGCGGGCGGGGCTGGCTGGAGGGAGGGAGCAGCGGGGACCGATTTATGTCGTTTAGGGGGTGGATTGTTATTGGGTGTTTTAAAAGGAAGATTGGGGCTTAAATACTGTTAGTTCTCTTGGTTAGAAAGAGAAGTCGGCTGGGAAGCCCGTGGCCAGTCTCCTCCAGGAGGGTCACAGCCCTGCAGGGGCTGAGCCTGCCTTTGTCGGAAGCGGTCTCCTGGCCGCCTGCTGAGAGGGTCCCTCTGAGTTACTTTGTCAGGGATCCTCCCCGTACCCCCCACATCTCCTTAGAAGTCGGCCGCCAGGACTCTCAGTTCTTGCTCTGATCCTCAGTTCTTGCTCTGATTCTCTCCCGGGTCCCGCTGGACTCTTGCCTAACATTTCCGAGCTGAAAGGACCTTATGTGGTCCAGACCTTTTGCACATAAGAGGCCGAGTCTTCAGTGGGTTGCAGCGCCAGGTCTCGAACCCAGGCCTCCGGCTGCCCTGCTCCTGCCTGCTATCAGTGGCTTGGGCCGTCCTCAAGCCACTTGAGTGGCTTAAAAAAACAACACAGGTTCTTGGGCTGAGGCCCGGAAACTCCAGTGTTTGTAAAGCTGCTCTGGGGAGTCTGACGGCGGGTCCCATTCGGGTGTGACAGCCACTGGAGTCCATCTCTGTGGGGTAAGTCAAGTGGCTCAAGTGCAAGGGAGGTCTGCCTCCTCCTGACCGGTGACCCCCATGTGCCAGCACCCCAGCAGCATGTGGTGGGGCTTGTAGAGCACGCGAGCCTCACAGGATGCGAGGTGCCCTCGGGCGGGGGTGCGGGGCAGCAGCATGTGCTGTCCTGGCTCAGGGTGCGTAGTGTGGTTGCTGAGCTGACCCCTAACATCAGCAAATAGAATGTCTTAGAGAGCAGATTATTAAGCAGAGGGAGGATAGAGAGGCTGACAATTAGGTTTTCGTTATCTTCAATGACGAAGGCAAAGGAAATTTATTTGTAGAATCCTATGTTCAATAATATGCATTATGTAGTCAAGTGGCCTGGAGCAAAATACCTGTGAGATTCTAGTCATTATTCATGAAACACACACACACACACACACACCACTACCACCAATAACAACAACAACTACAACAACAACAACAAAACGTGCACAGCATTTTGCTTAAATTTAAGAAGTTTCACTGGCCAGTTCTTGTTTTGTTTGGTTTTTAAAAATCAGTTGAGGGCTAACTTAACTCCCACACGTAAAGGTGTTTGTGAATTCCCAGTATAAACAGTGGAGTAGGGTGATGTCTGGTGCCTCACATGCTCTGACACTTTAGACCTCACAGTGTGACTGTCTGAGCATTTGGAAGGAGACATGAATTATTAAATTATCTGCACCATCAGCCACATGGTTCTGCACGTGTATATGGGCAGGGGGTGCATGAGCAGAATTAAACTTTAATTGTCACCACCCCGCTGAACAGGACTGGGTGCGGAGCGGTCTTAGTGTGCTGGCGAGCCTCCTCAGGGTAGGCTTTCAGTGGCTGCTGCTCCGCACACATGCCTGCCCCACCCCACGCCCCTGTGCGGCTGTGCTCCTGCAGGGACTGCTGCCTCTGAGACACACCGAGGCGCCGAGAATGCCTCTGCCCTGTTGTGAGGCTGCCTCCCGCCATGTAGAACCCCGAGACCCACCCGGTCTCCGGGGCTCTGCTCCTGTGAGCGCAGCTCACCACAGCCTCACAGAGGCTGGGAAAGGAGCTGGGACTTAGATGTTCTTCGCTTCCAAAGCCCTGGATAAGTGACCAGATGTGTATAGAAATGGCCTGTTGTCTGAGTAGATGTTTTATGGGAACCGCCAATGGGAGCTCATGCTGATGGCAGCCACCATCAGATCCGTAGCTGGGAAACGATTTCCGCCGTCGTTATGAACATGGAGCGTTTAACACGTGACTAAGACAGGACCACTGTGTCCTCTGTGCCGAGAGCACTGTGTCGTCAGGCGCTGGCCATTCTGCAGACGAATGCTGTGCTGCCCTCTTGTATTATTACTTGTTGTTTTTAAATATATTTTATTGTTTTTTTGTTTGTTTGTTTGTTTTTACAGAGAGGAAGGGAGAGAGATAGTTAGAAACATGGATGAGAGAGAGTCATCGATCAGCTGCCTCTTGCACACCCCCTACTGGGGATGTGCCCGCAACCAAGGTACATGCCCTTGACCGGAATCGAACCTGGGACCCTTCAGTCTCCAAGCCGACGCTCTATCCATTGAGCCAAACCGGTTCGACTATTATTACTTGTTAATCACCTCATTTCCCATAAGAACAGAAGTCAACCTACTTTGCCCACTGCTGTGACCCTCTCCTTCCTCTCCTTCCTGCCTGGTCTGAATTTCCGGGGCAGGCTCGCCGCCCGGTGCCTCCCTGGCTGTTGTGGGGTCCGGAGGAGATGCGTGGGAAATAACTCACCGCAGCCAGACACAGACTGAGTGTGAATGTGCTTTCCTCAAGAGGGGAGGCCTGCATTCGGGTCAGACTGCACACGCCGAGACCATCAGTTACCTCCGTCAGCGGGGAGTGTGTGCATGTGAATGTGTGTGTGTGCATGTATGTGAATGTGTGCCTGTGTGTGTGGTGACCAGACTGATCATGGCTGCTGGAGAGAACCCACCTGCCGTGCTGCTGAGGAGCCCTGAGTGAAGGCTCAGGAGAGGATTCAGAGGAAAGAATGCTGACCTCCTGGTTGGCTCAGTGGATAGTGTCAGCCTGTGGACTGAGGGGTCCTGGGTTTGGTTCTGGTCAGGACACACGCCTGGGTTGCCAGCTTGATCCCCAGAGTGGGGTGTGATGGAGGCAGCCAATCAATGATTCCCTGTCTTCATTGATGTTTCTCCCTCTCCTTTCCTCTCTGAACTCAATAAAAAATATATTTTGTTAAAGAGAGAAGAGCTTGCTCGCTGAGTGTGATTTGTCCGTGTTTTCCAGATCAATGTCCGGGTCACCACCATGGATGCGGAGTTGGAGTTCGCCATCCAGCCCAACACCACGGGAAAGCAGCTCTTTGACCAGGTTGGTCTCTGAACTAAGAGAGAATTCCTGTTTAGAAAAGATACGCCTGCAGCATCCGGGTCATTGTGTTTGCCAAGCGCATTCCTTGGTGTGCTGCCTGCTTCTTCCCTCCAGCGGGGCTGCTTCAGGGCACACCGAGGCTCAGCACCAAGGGCGACAGGCCGGCCGGTGCCTGCGGGGGGCAGTGCCGCCTCCCCTCCCGCTCGGCCGCACCCAGGACTGCTGCCCTCTGCCCCCGGCTCGGGGTCACCTGGCTGCTTGCCACCATGTGGGGCGGGGTGCAGTGTGGTCAGACTCCGCCCACGGCCCAAGAGGGACGTTCCCGGGGGACCCTCCCCCGCTCTGACCGTGAGCTCAGACGCGCGTACCGGAGCGGGCGCACGGAGCCCGGCACGGTCAGCCCCAAGGTGGAGGTGGGCGTTGTCATGGGGACACGAGCACCTCGATGGCTCCTGCCGGGGACAGCTCCTCAGAGCAGTCTCTCCGGGCCGGGAGCCCAGTGGGCAGCAGGCGGTGAAAGGCCTGCGCTGTGCTGGCCTTTCTGAGGCCCCACGGGAGGAAAGCCTGTCCTCCACCCAGCACGTCCCTGGGGAGCGGCTGGGCGCTGACGGGGGCCTGGGGGGAAGGTTTTAGCAGATCTGGGCCCGGGCCCTGGCGGGAGCAGGTCTCGCAGGCCCGTGTCCCCAGACGGGAGGCAGGTCGCCCAGGCCCGTGTCCCAGGCCCGTGTCCCGGGCGGGAGCAGGTAGCACAGGCCCGTGTCCCGGGCCCGTGTCCCCGGGCGGGAGCAGGTAGCACAGGCCCATGTCCCGGGCGGGAGCAGGTAGCACAGGCCCGTGTCCCAGGCCCGTGTCCCGGGCGGGAGCAGGTAGCACAGGCCCGTGTCCCAGGCCCGTGTCCCCGGGCGGGAGCAGGTAGCACAGGCCCATGTCCCGGGCGGGAGCAGGTAGCACAGGCCCGTGTCCCTGGGCCCGTGTCCCGGGCGGGAGGCAGCTCGCGCAGGCACATGTCCCGGGCCCGTGTCCCAGGCGGGAGCAGGTAGCACAGGCCCATGTCCCGGGCCCGTGTCCCAGGCGGGAGCAGGTAGCACAGGCCCATGTCCCGGGCTGGAGCAGGTAGCACAGGCCCGTGTCCTGGGCGGGAGCAGGTAGCACAGGCCCGTGTCCCCGGCGGGAAGCAGGAGACAGGTCGCCCAGGCCCGTGTCCCGGGCGGGAAGCAGGAGACAGGTCGCCCAGGCCCGTGTCCCGGGCGGGAAGCAGGAGACAGGTCGCCCAGGCCCGTGTCCCGGGAGGGAGGCAGGTAGCACAGGCCCATGTCCTGGGCGGGAGCAGGTAGCACAGGCCCGTGTCCCAGGCCCGTGTCCCGGGCCCGTGTCCCCGGCGGGAAGCAGGAGACAGGTCGCCCAGGCCCGTGTCCCGGGAGGGAGGCAGGTAGCACAGGCCCATGTCCCGGGCGGGAGCAGGTAGCACAGGCCCGTGTCCCGAGCGGGAAGCAGCTTGGGAAGGGGTGTGCGTGGCGTTTCCCACTTGATGTAGGCGAGCGTTCAGATCCCTGGTCCCTCATCGCCGCCGCCCGCAGTCTTTCCCTCTCCATGTGACGGATGTGTGTGAAGGGCGGGTACGGCTTTCTCTTGGAGGCTAAGGGCACGCCATGGGCTCAGAACCGTCTGCACCGCTCGGGCTGGCCGTGATGGTGCCCGCGCTGCTCTTCGATTCCGAGGCCCGGATCACCGTCCGGCAGGGACCCCGGAGGGTTCTTCCAACGAGAGCCTCTCTCGCTGTGACCTGGGGCGAAGTCTCCCTGGGTCCGAACGGGAACAGACTCCGCCCCTCCCTGGAGTGCGCGCCGCCTGCCCTGCCCATCCGGCTGCTGGCTCTCTGTGCGTGCGGGGCTCCCTGTGCGGGGCTCCCTGCTGGCGGAGAGGCGGCGGCCAGAGAGCGCCAGGCGCCTCTGCTTCACGCCGGCCAGTCCCGCTCCTCCCGGGGCACACCGGGCACGCTGTCACTGCTGGGCCCTGTGCTTGCTGTCACTCAGCGCAGCGACTCGGAACATCGGGACGCGTGATGGAGTTGAGGAGTAGGAGTGAGATTTTAGGTCTTAAGATTTTGTAAGATTTAATGTAAACCCAGAATCAGCTCCAATTATTAAAAATAAATTGTTGTGGCTTTGGGGTGATGTGATGGCCTGTGCTGCCTGCTCCATGACCACCGTCTCCCTCTCTCCCTCTCTCCCCTCCCCCTCTCCAGGTGGTGAAGACCATCGGCCTCCGGGAGGTGTGGTACTTCGGCCTCCAGTACGTGGATAACAAGGGGTTTCCGACCTGGCTGAAGCTTGACAAGAAGGTAAACCAGAGCCAACTGTTTGCACTGTTCGCTGGGTGTGGGTCCTCCTCGCTGGCCTGGAGCTGGAGCCCTTACTCTGACTGTGGTTTTTGTTGCTTTTTGTTCATGTACAAGTTTTTACAGGCAAACAGGTGCAGGTTTCCCGTAAATGGGGATATGGCTGGAAATCGGATCCTGGCATTTCCCGCACTGCTCACTCACTGAGCGTGCGGTGATGAGTTCTTGGTATTTAGCTGCCTCGGTGTGTGTTTTCAGGCGAATATTAGTCTTCTAAACCATGAGTCACTGTTCTGTAAGAACCTGTTACTGCTTTGTTGGAGCCTGTGATAGATTATCTCCCAACTCTAAAGACGGGATAATCCCAGTAACAATTAGAAGGAGCAGCGAGAAGCAAAACGTGTTTTCTGCAAACAGTTTGGAAAATGTCGCTTTTCCAAGCTCTGCTCTCCTCCCGAGTTAGAGGGCGGCGGGCGGTGGGGGCTGAGGGAGGGGCTGAGGGGTTAAGAGTGCCCCCGCTTCCAGGCTCACGGAGAGAGGTGTCGGACCGGGCCAGGCTGGCGCTCGGCTTCCCCGAAGGGAGGGTGTGTAGTGGGCTTTGTAAATGGCCCTTTGGGTCTGACATGTAAAAGGTGGCTTCAGAATGGACAGTGTCTTTGAAACTGGCCCTCAGGCCCTCTGGGCGGGTGGCGGCCTGTGCTGGGGGCGGGGCTTTCTCCCTGAGCGCGCTGAGCATTCGGCTTCTGCTGTCCAGGTGTCGGCCCAGGAGGTCAGGAAGGAGAATCCCCTGCAGTTCAAGTTCAGGGCCAAGTTCTACCCCGAAGACGTGCCTGAGGAGCTCATCCAGGACATCACGCAGAAGCTGTTCTTCCTCCAAGTGAAGGAGGGCATCCTGAGCGATGAGATCTACTGCCCCCCGGAGACGGCCGTGCTGCTGGGCTCCTACGCCGTGCAGGCCAAGTTCGGAGACTACAACAAGGAGATGCACAAGTCCGGCTACCTCAGCTCCGAGCGGCTGATCCCCCAGAGGTGAGGCAGGCGGGCGGCAGGGGAGGCGGAGGAGCGCGGGGATGGCGTCGAGGGCCGTCTCCTCGCTGAGCTGAGCGGCGCCCCTGAGCAGCAGGAGGGCCGTCCTCTGGGCCGTGGAGGGCGTGTTACGAGGGTGTCACAGGACACACGTGTCTCAGGGCCTGGCTGCCTCCCCTCCTGGTGTCGTAGTCGGGCGCCGTGAGGTCTGTGCTTAGTCACCGGTGACCACATGAGTGACCCCCTGTGGGCAGAATATTTTTATTAAATCATTACCTGTGCACGTATCTTAGCATTGAGAAAAGGCTTCTTAAAATGAAATGCCCTTTAAGTTTTCTAGCAGGGCCGAGTTTGTCTCCTTCCGGAGTAAACCATCGGTTTCGGTTCATCTTAAGCAGGATGGCACGGTGGGAAGTAGAAACCAATCACTGTGGTGATGTTGGCTGGAGAGAAGGGACAGTTTGGTGAGGGGGACAGTCCGTCACTCACCTTCCTCTGCCACCAGAGTCATGGACCAGCACAAGCTCTCCCGGGACCAGTGGGAGGACCGGATCCAGGTGTGGCACGCCGAGCACCGCGGGATGCTCAAGTGAGTGGGCCTCGGCCTGCGGTCGGCCTGGCCCGAGGCCGCCGGGGGCGGCCGCCAGCTCGGGGGCCTGGGTCAGGCAGCGGCCGGTCAGTTGGAGCCTTCAAGCCCTGAGCTCCCCTCTCATGTTTGAAATGTCCTGCCAGTAAGGGTTGGGCGCTGCTCCTAAGCTCCAGACTGTCTTCCCTGTCACCGAGGGGCTGGGCTCCACGGTCTGTGAGGCGACTGCTTTCTAAGTGAGTGCAAACAGCGGACCCGAGCCAGGAACACGCTGTCCAGCCTAAGAAATGGCCAGTCTGCGGTCCCGGATCCTCGTCTCGGGCACGGCCGCGTGGTCCCCGGCCAGAAGGCCCTTTGCAGTTCGGGCTTCGCAAACACGTGTCCTTAGAGCTTCCTGCCCGGCCCCGCTGCCTCCTCGAGGGAAGTAACGAGAAGCCTAAGCTGTGGCTGCTAATGAGGCTGCCGGGGGAGCCCCAAGGCCCCGCAGGCAGAGAAGGGGGTCCCGGCAATAAAGTGACACGGGAGAAACCGCGGGAGTCGGTCAGCTCCTTAGAGTGCGGGCCGGTGTGGCGAGGCGGCCGCGGGCAGCCCCGGAGCGCGCGGTGCAGCCGTCCACGGACTGCCTGCCTCCCCGCCAGGGACACCCCGCTGACGTGCGCGTGTCCCCACTAGAGACAGCGCCATGCTGGAGTACCTGAAGATCGCCCAGGACCTGGAGATGTACGGCATCAACTACTTCGAGATAAAAAACAAGAAGGGAACAGACCTGTGGCTCGGAGTGGACGCCCTGGGCCTGAATATCTATGAGAAGGATGACAAGTGAGTTGACCTTTATAATGACCTTCAGGTGAGGGGAATGGCCTGGGAGCTGTGCATGCGGGCGGCGACTGGCCGGGGTTGTGTGTGTGTGTGTCTTCGGGGCTTGCGGCTGTGGCCGCCTCGGAGCGTGCGTCATTGCTCTCCTGTGCCTGTGCTGAGGGTCCTGAGGGAGACCTTGGAGGTTTGTGCTCATTCCACCAGGAGTATTTGTGGGGCTGACGGGGACCCCGAGGCTGTAAACAGGAGCCTTAGTACACAGTCCACCGGGTCCCTGGACCCGGGAGGGGAGGGTGGTCTGTTGGGCAGGAGCGGCTCCCGACTTCCTGTGCCCATCCCTGTGCCGCCCGCTGCGCACACGGACAGGCCTCTTTCCTGCCAGAGGCTGCACAGCGGCCCCGTTCTGCTTCGGGGTGGCTCCTGAGCGGGGAACAGGCCTAAGTTCTAGATTCTTCCCTGAGAAGCTTCCCGAGTGCAGGCGGCCTGCAGAGCTGAGGGTGAGGGTGCCCGGGGACTGCCCCCAGGCCTTGGTGCCACGCCACGCCCTGTGGCCCGGTTCCTGCCTCCGTGCGTGCAGGGTGGGGCGGAGCAGCAGAGAGACCAGCGTGATGCCGGACCAGACCACTGGCCGGTGCCCTCCCGGCCGCGTGCTGATCCGCATGTCCCCCTGGGCCCCTCTGTCCCCGTTCGCAGAGGTCCGTGCTCTCAGCCCTCCTCTCCTGGCCCCCACAGCCCCCTCTGCCATCCTGAGGGGGTGGTACTGCTTTGTGATCCCACAAAAGCATCTCTCACCCCAGCCACTGCCTCTTGCTGACTTGGGAGGGACCCGGTCAGCCGGTCCTGAAGCTCCCCTCGGTGCTGGATTGGGGCGGCGTGCTCGGGCCGCGCTGGGCCCCGCTGGAGGGTCTCCTGCTGGAGGGTCTGGTCACACGTGCACACGACAGGCCTCGGGCTCTCGGAGCCTTCCAGAACCCGGAAGTGGGTTACGGGCCTGTGCCCTCCGCGTGGTGAGGGAGGGACGAGGTCAGCAGGCCCCGCCTGGGAGCGGAGCGGAGTGGAGAACCAGGCCTCCTGGGTCACGGGGGAAGCTGCCTGTGGCCTTGCTTGAATGTCCAGGTTTTGTAAGAGCCTTGGCCAGGGCCGTCCAAACAGGTTTTTCCGGCTGAAGGAACAGCCTGTAACTGCCCCACCGCACAAATGTGCATTTCCCAGTAAAACTGTGCCCCTCCAGTCCCAGTCCTGCTCCCTCCCCCAGCGAACCGGGACACTGGCCACCCCCTCGAGGGGCTTCTCCCCCAAGACACCGGGCGGGCGCAGCCTCACTTCCCGCCCCTCCTGGGGAGGCTCCCTCTGCACTTAGCAAACAGGCAGGAGTTCACCAGGCCCGCTTCTCCTTTTAAACCAAACGGCAATGCGGCGGCGCCCACGGTGAGCCAGGACTGGCAGCTCCTGGCTGTGTTCACGGGCACTTGGTGCCCTTGCAGACGGGCAGTGCAGGGTCTGGTTAGTGCAGAGCAGTGCAGGGTCTGGTTAGGGTTAGGAGAGCAGGGTTGGGTTAGGGTTGGGAGTGCAGGATTGGGTTAGGGTTAGAGTTAGAGCAGGATTGGGTTAGGGGTGGGAGTGTAGGGTTGGGTTAGGGTGGGAGTGCAGCGGTGGGTTAGGGTGGGAGTGCAGCGATGGGTTAGGGGTGGGAGTACAGGATTGGGTTAGGGTTAGAGTTAGTGCAGGATTGGGTTAGGGTTAGAGTTAGTGCAGGAGTGGGTTAGGGTTAGGAGAGCAGGGTTGGGTTAGGGTTAGGAGAGCAGGTTTGGGTTAGGGTTGGGAGTACAGGATTGGGTTAGGGTTGGAGTTAGTGCAGGATTGGGTTAGGGTTAGGAGAGCAGGGTTGGGTTAGGGTTAGGGGAGTACAGGGTTGGGTTAGGGTTGGGAGTGGGGGTGGGGTTCGCAGAGGGGTGCTCAGACGGGAGACGGGCACATGGAGGATGTAAGCTGGGCCTAGGAGATTCGGTGCGCCCTGCAAAGAAACAGACACGCCTTTATTTCACTAAAAAGTTGTCCCTTTTGGTGTTGAATGAGCTCCAGTTGGGAAATGCCCCCTGGGTCCCGTTCGCATCGTACACACGGCGTTCAGCGGGCACGTAGGACTGAAGCACTTGTCTTTCTCCTGTGAACCCGGAGGTCGGAGCAGGAGCCCATGGGAGGGAAGGAATTGGCAGACCCAGGCCCTTCCCTGAAAAGCGTTATCAGCCTGGGAACAAGGTTCACATCAGCTGCTATAATTCTGCTTGGCGTCCAGACCAGGAACCAAACAACAGAGCGAGACAAAGAGCAGAGGAACCCGATCCTGCCCCCGAGCCTCTGTCCCTGCAGCGCCGCCCCCTCCCTCAGGGCCAGTCCATGCCGGCTCGGAGGACGGAGTCCGGGGGGACGGAGTCCGGGGGGACGGAGTCCGGGGGGACGGAGTCCGGGGGGACCGTGAGGGTGCTCTCCGGGGCGGGGCTCTGGCCCCTCCATTAGCCCTTTCAGAGAGGATGTGGGTGGGGACGGAGCCAAGAGCCAGCGTCCTTCCCCTCCGGCCCTCACCTGGGCTGACAGTCAGTGTTCTGGTTCCGTTCCCATTGCCCTCACGTCCGGAAGGACGTGTCAGACCGGCTACTTAAAGACGGAATCCCCACTTTCCACCCGACACCCAGGGGCCAGGCTGTGGGTTCTGGCTGGAGGGTGTGTGCTCGGTGGCGGGAGGAGGCCCCGGCGTTGTGCTGACTGCGCTTCTTTCAGACGCGGGGGACCAGGGGCCAGGCTGAGCTCTCCGGGTCTCTGGAACCGAACTTGAACCTGGAACAGGTGGCTTTCCCACCACTTTCCCACCACTCAGTGTCTGAGAGGCAGCTTAGGGTCTGTTTCGCCCCGAGGGCAGCCGTGGTGACGCTGCGGGAGTGGGCTGGCATCAGGAGGTGAGGAGAGCCTGTGGACTCGGGTTGCTCTTAAAAGCCGGTCTCGGCCCCCGTGGGCCATAGTGACCGCGCAGGATGGGGTGGGGCTTGTTAGGAGGGGGCTGGTGCGCTCAGAATGTGGGGTGACCCTCAGCCCGAAGAGCAGCCCGCACCTCGCCCTCGCTCCCCAGGAGGGTGCGGCAGGTGTGCTGGGCACACCCTGACCGGCCAGAGGCCTCCACCCCCGGCAGCGCCGGCTGGACCCCAGCGAAGTCCATGCCGAATGGGGGGCCTGACCACCCTGGCCGCCTCCTTGGCGAGTGGCCCCGGCACAGCCCGGGAGTCCCGCCTCCCGCCTCCATGGGGCTGGTGACGGGGCCGTGGATTAGCGTCTGGTGCCCGTAGAGATGATGCTGACAGAGGCCTGAGTGAGGAGGACGTGGCGGCCGGAGGAGAGGAGGGAGCCCTTCCAGGTGCCTCCGGGAGACCCCGTGTGCAGAGGCGGGGGACAGGAAGCCGGGCTCGGGCTTTCCTCTGGCAGAGCCTCTCGCCTGGGGAGATGGGCTGGCGGGAGGGCCCTCCTCGCCGTGCGGACACTGGGAGAGGGAACCGTCGACTGAAAGGAAGCTCCCCGGACGAGCCGGCGGACGTGGACCCGGCCCCGAGCACCGTGGCTGGGCTGTCCCACGGGAAGGGGCTTAGGGCTGAAGATGGCTGTGAGCATTTCCAGCAGGGCGCAGGGACGAGCGGGCTGGAGGTTACAAGCCAGGGTGGCGCCCCAGCTGAGAAAGACGATGGGGAGGACAGGTTCCTGAGCCTCCAGACGGCCGCCCTGCAGCTCGGAGCGGCGGGAACGATGAGTGCTCGGTGTTTACAGCTAACCTCTGACCTTTAACCTCAGGTTGACCCCAAAGATCGGCTTCCCGTGGAGTGAGATCAGGAACATCTCTTTCAACGACAAGAAGTTTGTCATCAAGCCCATCGACAAGAAGGCGCCAGTAAGTGCGCGGGCACTGGTTTTCTTGCAGCCAAGCGTGTTTCCAGGATAAATCCGGTTCCCTCCTCGGTGACAGGAGCCGGTGGTGCTCAGCATGTGTGTGTGGGTGGGGGAGTTGCCGGCAGGTCACGTGGAGGGCCAGGGTCTCTTGGGGCACAGGACAGGCCGGTGTCTGCCACTGCCTGACTGGCCCCTGAGTTGCCAGCCGTCTGCATTCCCGAGAGGAAAAGGGCCATCCTGTGCCGGTGCCTCTGCCGAAGGCCAGGCCTCGCTGGGCTCGAGCATGGTCCCGGGGAGAGCAGCCGGCCGCCCAGACCGCGGTCCTGGGTGCGGGGGCTCCCGGCAGCACCTCAGGTCCCCGCAGGAGAAAATGGCGTTGGACTGGACCTGCTCTGTGCTCAGCGCTTTCCCCGTGACCTTTGCCCCCTCCCGCCGTGAGCAGGAAGCCCTGGATGGGGCCCAGGGGGTGTGCCTAGGGGTTCCCTGGCCCATTTCAAGGTGACCTTTGGGTTTGTTTCCTTGAACTTGGCTCGTGCCCCGAGGGTGTGTCCTCTCCGAGTTTGGTTGGCCGTCCCAGGTCATGGCGTGTGGCTGCGCGTTAGCTCGCTGGCTGGAGACCTGGATTTAGACCTTTTAATAATGCGCACCCCTTTCGGCCTTAACTAGAAGGCAGACTACCTCCTGCGGAGTGTGAGCGGGTCCCTGTCCACCGGCCTCTCGGAGGCGGGAGGGGACCTGCCCACACTCCCTGCCTCTTGGCTTTCTAGACGGACCTTTTCTGCAGCGGGTTTGGTGCTGGTCAGAGGCCTGGCCGGTACGCAGGGACACAGTCTGGACCTCCTGGGCGGGGCCTATCTGTGCGGCCAGCACAACTGGTTTCCTCTTGTGTAACCGGAGGTGGGCGGCCCCTCCCTGGGAAACCTGGCGGCTTAGTGACAGGTGAACCGGAGGCCGCGCCCCGGAAGCCGTGGGCCCGGGCTCCGCATCCGCCCAGGTTTCTGGGGCAGACGAAGGCCTGGAGTGGGAGGCGCGTTTGTTTGTTGGTTTGTTGTTTGTTTTGGCCACGGTCTCCCTGAGCTGGTGGCCAGAACCCTGATGTGAGGGCCTGCGGTTGAGAAAAGAAAGGAAGGAAAGGAGAGGAAGCAGGCAGGTGCTTTAAGTAACTTAGCGAGCGTTTCTGACCGCCATTCTGCTTTCTGTCACCTGCTGGTCGCCGTGAGCAAGAGCTAGGACACAAGCTCTGGTTACCGCGTCCAGAGCATCTGGTCCCCGGTCACCAAGCTCCCGGAGGCAGCGTGTCCCTTTTCTAAGAAGGCTGCTCCTCCGGGAGCTGCTCCTGCTCCGTGAGCTGCTCCTCCGTGAGCTGCCCCTGCTTCTCCGTGAGCTGCTCCTGCTCCGTGAGCTGCTCCTCCGGGAGCTGCTCCTCCGGGAGCTGCTCCTGCTCCGTGAGCTGCTCCTCCGGGAGCTGCTCCTGCTCCTCTGTGAGCTGCTCCTCCGTGAGCTGCTCCTGCTCCTCCGTGAGCTGCTCCTCCGTGAGCTGCTCCTGCTCCTCTGTGAGCTGCTCCTGCTCCTCCGTGAGCTGCTCCTCCGTGAGCTGCTCCTCTGTGAGCTGCTCCTCTGTGAGCTGCCCCTGCTCCTCCGTGAGCTGCTCCTCCGTGAGCTGCCGCTGCTCCTCCGTGAGCTGCTCCTCCGTGAGCTGCCGCTGCTCCTCCTTGAGCTGCCCCTGCTCCTCCGTGAGCTGCTCCTGCTCCGTGAGCTGCTCCTCTGTGAGCTGCCCCTGCTTCTTCGTGAGCTGCTCCTGCTCCGTGAGCTGCTCCTCCGTGAGCTGCTCCTGCTCCGTGAGCTGCTCCTCCGTGAGCTGCCCCTGCTCCTCCGTGAGCTGCTCCTGCTCCGTGAGCTGCTCCTCCGTGAGCTGCTCCTCCGGGAGCTGCTCCTGCTCCGTGAGCTGCTCCTCCGGGAGCTGCTCCTGCTCCTCTGTGAGCTGCTCCTCCGTGAGCTGCTCCTCCGTGAGCTGCTCCTGCTCCTCTGTGAGCTGCTCCTGCTCCTCCGTGAGCTGCTCCTCCGTGAGCTGCTCCTCTGTGAGCTGCTCCTCTGTGAGCTGCCCCTGCTCCTCCGTGAGCTGCTCCTCCGTGAGCTGCCGCTGCTCCTCCGTGAGCTGCTCCTCCGTGAGCTGCTCCTCCGTGAGCTGCCGCTGCTCCTCCGTGAGCTGCTCCTCCGTGAGCTGCCGCTGCTCCTCCGTGAGCTGCCCCTGCTCCTCCGTGAGCTGCCCCTGCTCCTCCGTGAGCTGCTCCTCCGTGAGCTGCTCCTCCATGAGCTGCTCCTGCTCCTCCGTGAGCTGCTCCTCCGTGAGCTGCCGCTGCTCCTCCGTGAGCTGCTCCTCCGTGAGCTGCCGCTGCTCCTCCGTGAGCTGCCCCTGCTCCTCCGTGAGCTGCTCCTCCGTGAGCTGCTCCTCCATGAGCTGCTCCTGCTCCTCCGTGAGCTGCTCCATTGGCAGGTCTCGGCAGCCAGCAGCCTCTGCGTGAGCGTTTTGTGCACCGGCCACGTCTGTGGTGTGGACAGCACTGTGAGTCCTTTCGAGCGTTAACTGACTTCATCAGCTCAGCAGCCCCACCAGGGTGCTGCCGCTCCCACAGAGTTGAAGAGGCGCAGGGTCAGGGGGCTTGAACTGTCGGTCAGCCATCAGGAGGGTGCTCGTGAGCAGCAGTAAACACGGGAATACAGAGGTGGCTGCCCCTGGCCTGCCCTCCAGGTGCTGACTGTCCAGGTCAGGGTGGGGAACACCCGGCCTGAGAAATCATTGGTCTGGCTCTGCCAAGGCAACCGCAGGGGGACTGGAAATTCAGTAACTGTAGGAGCTGTCTCAGAGCAACAAAGATTTACCTGGAGTGAATGACGTTACAGACATCCAAAAAGGTTCCCAGCCTGTTGGAGTGGGACAGAGAGCAAACCGAGCCGGTGGTACCAGGAGCGCCGGCGCAGGGGGCGCTGCTGGCCTCGGGCACGGCGTTGGGCAGGGTGCCAGGAGGAGGGACCGCTTGAGGAAAGGCTTGTGGCACGAAAGGGCGTGGTTAGGTGAGCGCGGGGCCGGGGGTGGCCTTCGCGTGTGCCAGGCCTCCCGGGAGGCACCCCGGCCCAGCGGTCCTGCCCCTCTGCTGGGGCATGGGGGGCGCAGGCTGGGCAGGGAGACAGGAGCCCAGCGGGAACTTGCAGAAGCCGGCAGGACCGTGGCGGTGGCGGTGGCGGTGGCTGTAGAGGGCAGGCCGGGCGCTAACCCGAAGGCCAAGCACCCTGGCACTGGGGCCCTTGGCCTGAGGCCGCACCCGCCGGCCGTCGCCCACCCTCTGCGGCCCCGCGGCGCCCAGGCCTGGTTTGGGGCGTGGCCGCCATCGGAGTCCTTCAGGGCCGGCCGGGCGTCAGCTGCTCTCTCCCTCCCAGGACTTCGTCTTCTACGCCCCGCGCCTGCGCATCAACAAGCGCATCCTGCAGCTCTGCATGGGCAACCACGAGCTGTACATGCGCCGCCGGAAGCCCGACACCATCGAGGTGCAGCAGATGAAGGCGCAGGCCCGCGAGGAGAAGCACCAGAAGCAGCTGGAGCGGTGAGCGGCCAGCGGGGCGGCCGGCGGGGCGAGCCGCGGGAGGCCCTCCGTGGCTGGGCCGGCAGAGCCTGTGGCAGTGCGGGGCCTGGGTGGCCGGTGCCACACAGCTGCTCCCTCGCGGCCCTCGCCGTGCCGGGCTGAGAGGTGGCTTCGGCGGAAGCAGCTTCGGCGGAAGCAGCCGCGCTGGGTGGCGGACTGGCCGTGTCCACAGCACGCGGCTGCGGAGCCTAACCTGCTGTGCCCGCCCCGAACAGGCAGCAGCTGGAGACGGAGAAGAAGAGGCGGGAGACTGTGGAGAGAGAGAAGGAGCAGATGATGCGGGAGAAGGAGGAGCTGATGCTCAGGCTCCAGGACTACGAGCAGAAGACCAAGAAGGCCGAGAAAGGTGGGCATGTTCTCTCACGGCCACGGCCCCAGGCAGACAGCGCCCCCCGGGAGGGGTGCAGCCAGCGCCCGGAACAGGCTGGAGGGCCAGGGCCAGGTGGGAGCGGGCCGGGCCCTGGGTGCTGCGTGCTTTGTGGGCGTTGTCTTAACGCCCCTGAGCGAGGGGTGAGTGCTGAGGGTCCGTCTTCCTGACAAGGAGGGGGCTTTAGCGGCAGGAAAGGCTGCTCGCAGTGGCAGGTGGTGATGCTGCGCCCGGCGAGCACAGGGCGTGTGATCCCGGCCGGCTGGGAGCCGGTGCGGAGCCTGAGCCCCGGGTGCCCCCTCAGAGCTCTCGGACCAGATCCAGCGGGCCCTGCAGCTGGAGGAGGAGCGGAGGCGGGCGCAGGAGGAGGCCGAGCGCCTGGAGGCGGACCGCATGGCCGCGCTGCGCGCCAAGGAGGAGCTGGAGCGGCAGACGGTGGATCAGATAAAGAGCCAGGAGCAGCTGGTAGGAGCCCGGTGTCACGGCACTGAATTATGGAGGCGCTGCCTCTGGGGACCGAGGCAGGGACACCTGCGGACAATGATTTCTGTCGGTGTAAGCGGATCGGCGGGCGGGACGGCACGGCGGCGGGGAGGCGGGGCGGGCCGCCGCCTGCTGCTCGGAGGGCACGCGCGGGCACGGCTTGCTGAGGGCGGGCCAAGCTCACTCTCCGTGGCTCCGCAGGCGGCCGAGCTGGCCGAGTACACGGCCAAGATCGCGCTGCTGGAGGAGGCGCGCCGGCGCAAGGAGGACGAGGTGGAGGAGTGGCAGCACCGGGTGAGTGCGGGCGGCGGGCGGCGGGGAGGGCACCGCATGCCCCCCGGTGCCGGTCCTCCCTGTGGGATCAGCAGGGGAACAGAGAGCCACCTTGTGACGCCTGAGCGTTCCGCCCCCCCAGGCAGCCCCCAGGCTTCAGGTCAGATTAGCTGGGTGCCCCCAGCAGCAAGCCAGCCACAGGGCCCGGAACCAGCCTCCCCTGTGTCTGGCACCTGCAGCCTGGCACGCACAGCGATGGGACCTGGTGTGACCAGCTGAGGCCTCGGCCTCGTTTCCTGTGGACGGGACCGCTGCCCGCCTGGAGGGCTGCTCTAGACCCCGCAGAGGGTAGTGAATTGCAGCCATGACAGTGCCACTCCATCCACCTTCACGTCCGCCGGGAGCCCAGGCCTTGGGCGCTGTGGGTGTGGGTTCGAGTGCAGGCCTCAGTCCCACCCGGCCTGTCCTCGCTTCCCCGCCTGAGGCAGCCCCTGTGAGGACCCTGGGGCCCCGTCCCGCCCCGAGCTGGGAGCAGAGGCCTCAGTCCCTGGGTTTCTGGAGAAAGTGCTGTGATAAGGTGTTAAGTGAGAAGAGCGGGTTACAAACCAGCTACAAGCTAAGCCCATCAGGGTGGCAATGAAGTGAGTGGGGTTTAGTTATGTGCCCTGGAGAAGGTGCTGGAAGAGTCAGGGTGATGGTGAGGACTTCCTGAGCACCTGCCATGGGAGGGGAGCTTGGCGAGCAGCGGCCAGGGGAAAGGGAAGGAAGCTGAGCACATGCTGGGATCACAGACGGAAGAACAGATACTTAGAAAGACCTCTCTGTGCTGCGGGCATGTGTGGCCACTGCTCCGTGGGCCCGGGGCCCGGGCATGTGTGGCCACTGCTCCGTGGGCCCGGGGCCCGGGCATGTGTGGCCACTGCTCCGTGGGCCCGGGGCCCGGGCGGCGGCCGGGCTGCAGGGGACCTGGTGGTGCAGCCGCCTCCTGTGGCTCATGCTGCGGGCGCCTGCCGGGGGGAGGGGGAGGCCGGGGGGAGGGGGAGGCGGGGGGGAGGGGGAGGCGGGGGGGAGGGGGAGGCGGGAGGAGCGGGTCCTCATCCACAAGGGGACCTCCTCCGTGAGGAAAGCTGCTTCCGAGGGAGCGTCGGGCGGGCCTGGGGAGTGCTCACGGCCGTGCTTCGCTCCCGAAGGCCAAGGAGGCCCAGGATGACCTGGTGAAGACCAAGGAGGAGCTGCAGCTGGTGATGACGGCGCCGCCGCCCCCGCCGCCCCCCGTGTACGAGCCGGTGGCCTACCACGTCCGCGAGAACCTGCAGGAGGAGGGCCCCGAGGACTCGGGCTGCAGCGCCGAGCTGTCCAGCGAGGGCATCCTGGGCGACCGCAACGAGGAGAAGCGGGTCACCGAGGCCGAGAAGAACCTGCGTGTGCAGCAGCAGCTCATGGTGAGGGGGCGGGCGGCCCCGGGCTCGGCTCCCGCTCCCGGGGCCGCGCGGGTCCGGGAGGCTGGCAGCGGGGCCTGACCTGCCTCTTGCGTTGCAGACTCTGTCCAGCGAGCTGTCCCAGGCCCGAGACGAGAACAAGAGGACCCACAACGACATCATCCACAACGAGAACATGCGGCAAGGCCGCGACAAGTACAAGACGCTGCGGCAGATCCGCCAGGGCAACACCAAGCAGCGCATCGACGAGTTCGAGGCCATGTGAGCGCGGAGGGCGGCGGGCCCGCGGCCGCAGACGGACACTGTCTCCGTAGTTCTCTGTTGGCCCCCGTCCCAGCCCGTTAAGGAGAGCGGCTGTCTCCGGAATGTCCGGGCTGGGACGGGGGCTCCCTGCTATTCCCCATTGTATCATAGTGCCAAACGGGCCTGATTTTCTGCTGTTATCGAATCACTTCCTGTCTGCCGGGCAGGCCATCGAATCAAGGAAAGGCCGCTGCGCGCCGCGGGCAGCTCCGTGCGGGTGTGAGCGCCGTGTCTGAAGCGACCGGTGGCTCGTCCGTGCCATACGCCTGTGTTTGACATGAGCTCAGAGCAATAGATCCACTGGTTTCTTGAAGGAGGCATCTCTGCATTCATGTCTGAGGCTTAGACACTGGTGGGCAGCACCCACACGTGCACAGGGACTCGCTCCCGGCGGCCCCGGCCCGCAGTCCGATCAGCAGCACGGAGGACACGCTTAGATAAACGCCTGTTAACAGTAGGGGCTCCGTGGCTGGGCTTCCCCTGATTAATACTGATCAGCTATAGAATGATATTTATATATAAGCAATAATAGGGGTTTGTAACGTTAGTTAAAAGGGGAAACTTGTTCTGTATATTTTGTTACCTTTTAAAGAATAATAAAAGAACATGAAAACATGACACTGTGAGGCATAATAAAGCCGGTTAACTGCTGTGGTCACGTCCGACCATGCACATTCCCTCTTCTCCTGGGACTTCCTGTGTGAGACGCACGGGCTGTTCACTCGGGCTGCAGCCCCGGGGCCCGGCCCAGGGAGAGCCTGCTGAGCTGCCTCCATTCTCTGCCACGGCCCTGGCCATGGCCCCACCAACGGCAAGGCCCAGGCGGTGTCCGCGGCCCTGCCCGCAGCGCCCCCCGGGCAGCGCCCTCACCGGACTGCAGAGCTGACTCGAAGGGGTCTGTCCCTCCCGCCCCAGCTCCTCGAGGCTGGCTGACCGCCTCCAGAAAGGGCTTTGCAGAAGGGGAGGGATCGCACGCCCCCAGCTCCTTTGCTTTCTTTGGGACAACACAACAAGGCCAGTTTCACTGTTGGGAGACGGGCAGCAGCACGCATTGAAATCTGACCATTCCCCACGTCTCGGCAGGTAACCAGCCGGGACTCTGTGCTGTCCCTGCCCACTGCTCCGTTACATGACTGCTGTAGGCAGAGGGGTCCCCTCCAGGGGCCCCCCAGCTGCACACCCTCAGTCCAGCTGGCCCGCGGGCACGTGGGCGGCTCCCATCGGCACCTGGCACCTGCAAGACGAGGGTCGTGTCTGCCCACACATGGGGGGGAGAGAACTTGGTGCCACGGCAGCTGTGACGGCGTGTCCGCGCCGCCGGCTGTGGCTCCCTCTGAGGAGTGAGGTGACGGATTAGTAGCCATGGGCCTGCAGACACCACACGTCCCTCGGCTTTTTAAAAGAACCAGAAATGGCAATGCCAGTAAATAAAGAGGAGGCTGCTTTCGTGTGGCCAGCTGGCGCAGTGGCTGCCAACCAATGGTTCTCCTCATTGGTGTTCTTTATGCCCCCCTCTGAAATCAATGAAAGTAGAGAAAGTGTTTAGAGTAAAAAGAAGTCCTATATCATACGCCAGAGGCCATAAGCATCACGACCGGAAGACCGCTCGACCCGTCGCTGTGAAGTGACCACCGCTCGGTCCCTCCGGCCCACAGGCTCTCACAGAGTGGCGAACGGGGACCCCGGTCGGCGGCCAGAGAAGCAGCCCCGGTCCCGGGTGCCTGACGGTGGCCGGAGCGAAGCTGCCCGGGTCCCGGGCGCCAGAAAGTGAGCTTCACCTCCACTCAGCCCTCTGGTGACAGGGCTCCTGCCCACACCCCAATGATGGGTCAGAGCCGGGCGTGGGCCCGTGGGCCTGAGGCCTCCAAGGCCGAGCTGTTTTCCTTCCTGCCAGCTCAGCGAGGAGTGGTGGTGGGTGGGCTGGGCCTCCAGGAGGCTGACTACAGTCCGTGCATCGCAGCCCGGGGACGTGGGAGCCAGGCCGGCCAGCTCTGAAGTCAGTCCTCGGAGGAAGGGGTGCGCTTTGCACAGCATTTCCTTTAAGAGCAGATTGCAATGGAACGGCCAATCAGCGTGTCTTCCTCGGCCCCCGGCCTTGCAGTGTGTGTACATGGTTTGGTGTCAGTGCTTGGGGGGCCCTGCTGCAACCAGCAGGAGGAGGAGGAGGGACCGTCCCCTCACAATGTCAGAAGCACCCTGCTGGGCAGCACCAAAGCACCCCCTTTGTCCCTCTGCACGAAACCCTGTAGGAGGCATTTTCCTTTATGACTTATGCCGGGAACCAAAGTCTGCCCAGCCCGGTGGAGGCCTCGCAGGTCCCGAGTCTGATTTAACGGGTGGACTACTTGGCTGTGTGCCACGGCGGGGAGGGCCGGTGGAGGGGAGCTCCGAGGCTGGGGGGTGCTCCAGGCCCGGGGTGGCTGGGAGCTGAGGCCATGCGGTCCCTGCGCTACCCCCCTCCTCGGCCGCCCAGCGGCCACGGCCACGGCCACGTCCTCGGCTGCCCAGGCCCAGGCCCAGGCCCAGGCCCACGCTCATCTGCTCCAGCCCGCCCTCGGCAGGAGGTTCAGGCCAGAAGCACCGAGCACCTCCCCAGCCCCAACGGGAAGTCCGGGTGAGGACACTGCGCAGTCTAACGGTGACGGCACCACACTGGGTGGCCCGGTGGCGTGTCCCAGGCATGTAAAAGGTCACAGTTCAGTTTCTGGTCAGGGCCCGTGCTCAGGTTTACCGCTGGAACCCGCAAGACGAGCAGGAGGCAGCCCATCTGTGTCTCACATGATGTTCTCTACCGCTCCCTTCCACTCTCTTTCAAATCAATTGGAAAAATAGTGTTTGCTTTATTAATACTTAAAAAAAAACAAAAAAAAAAACGAGCCTGTTAACCTAACCCATAACCCTAATGCTACACTCTAGTCTAACACTAACCCTACACTCTAACCCTAACCCCCAATCCTAACCCTGAACGCTAAGGTTAGGTGAGAATGAGATCTGCTGAGTCACCCCTCTGACTGTGAAGAGGGAGACTGGAAGCTGAGGAAATACTCAGAAAAGGCCTTTTCCCTCGGTCAGGGAGTGCTGACTCACTGCGGTGAGCATCCAAACCTGGACGCCACAGATTTTGGAGATGAGGTTTTTTTTTAATTGATTTCAGAGGGGAAGGGAAAGGGAGAGAAATTGAAGTAGCAATAGAAACACCTGCCAAAACCAGTTTGGCTCAGTAGACAGAGCGTCAGCCTGTGGACTGACAGGTCCCAGGTTCGATCCTGGTCGAAGGCATGTACCTTGGTTGCGGGCACATCCCCAGTGGGGGGTGTGCAGGAGGCAGCTGATGGATGTTTCTCTCTCATCGATGTTTCTAACTCTCTATCTCTCTCTTCCTCTCTGTAAAAAATTTAAAAATTAAAAAAGATTCTTATTTAAAAAAAAGAAAGAAAGAAAGAAACATCACTGCCCTAACCGGTTTGGCTCAGTGGATAGAGCATCAGCCTGTGGACTCAAGGGTCCCGGGTTCGATTCCGGTCAAGGGCATGTACCTTGGCTGCAGGCACATCCCCAGTAGAGGTGTGCAGGAGGCAGCTGATTGATGTTTCTCTCTCATTGATGTCTCTAACTCTCTCATGCTCCCCCTTCCTCTCTAAAAAAAAATCAATAAAAAAAGAAATAGAAACATCACTGATGAGAGAGAATCACTGATGGGCTGCCTCCTGCACGCCCCGCACTGGGGACTGAGCCCAAAACCCAGGCATGTGTCCTTGACCTGAACCGAACCCGGGACCCTGCAGTCTGCAGGCGACGCTCTATCCACTGAGCCTGAGAGGCCAGGGCAGAGCAGTTGTAACGGGACTTGTGGATTCTGTGGGAAGGTAAACACGGAGGTGTGCCACGGCTCACCGTTTGGGGTTCCCTGTGTGTAACAAGTTCCAGTAAACAGTGCGCTAACGGACCCTCCGCCCACCCAGGGGCCACCTGACCACAGTGACGTCACATGGTGGCTGATCTGTGGCTGGAAGAGAAGCCGTCATTTGCTATCACCCCCTGCACACAACACGCCCCTGTGCGCACACACCCCCTCCCCCCTGCACACACATGCGCACACACACACGCACGCACACACACATGCACACATACGCACGCGCACACACACATGCACACGCGCACACGAGCATGCACACACACACACGCACACACGCACGCACGCACACGCACACACGCACATACACTCACACTGGCCGCTCAGCGAAGGCGTGTGACCGTCCGCAGACGCCAAGAGAGCGCCAGGGCCGCGGGCGGGCGGACTTGCGGAGGAGCGGGGCGACCAGGGGGGGTGTGTGGCGTTTCCGCGGGGGTGGAGGGGGCGCAGAGCCGGGGCTGGGGCCAAGGGGCCCGGGCCTCTGTTTCTGGGCTCGGAGCTGAGCAGGGGCGGCCGCGGGGCTGCAGGGCTGGCCATCAGGGCACTGTCCGTCCTCAGGGCCACGGCCACCATCTTCCCGCCTGTCCACGTCCCTGACCGCCATCCCGCCGGGCGGCCCGTCTCCCAGAGAGCCCTCCCCCTGCAGCCAGCCCTGGGCGCCCGCTGGCCTCCGAGGCTCCCGGGGAATGGGGGGGGGGCAGCTGGGGTCCTGATTCCCTTCCAGGCCTGGGTTTCCCCAGGCGGCTCCACAGCTGGGCGCTGAGGGGAGCCGGTGGGACCCCGGGGAGCTGGGAAATGCTGAGGGCATGGGCACCCGCCGCCTGCCTGCAGCGAGGGCTGTGGGGCCGGGCAGGGGACAGGGGGAGGGGGCAGGGGGCAGGGGGAAGGGCAGGGGACAGGGGACAGGGGGGGGGGGCAGGGGGCAGGGGGTAGGGACAGGGGACAGGGGACAGGGGGAGGGGACAGGGACAGGGACAGGGGGAGGGGAAAGGGGACAGGGGGAGGGGGGGAGGGGGAGGGGGAGGGTGAGGGGAGGGGGAGGGGGGGAGGGGAAGGGGGGAGGGGCAGGGACAGGGGACAGGGGACAGGGGGAGGGGGCAGGGGGAAGGGCAGGGGACAGGGGACAGGGGGAGGGGGCAGGGGGCAGGGGGTAGGGACAGGGGGCAGGGGGAGGGGGCAGGGGACAGGGGGAGGGGGCAGGGGGCAGGGGGAAGGGCAGGGGCAGGCCGGACCAGGCTGGCACTGGGTGACATGAGGTCAGGGCTGTCAGGTCCTGGAGGAACTGAGCGGGGAAGGCCCTCGGAGCCGCGGAGAGTGGACGCGGAGCCGTCCCCGGAAAGCTGTTTATTTTGCTGGGAAGGTGCGGATGGCGGGAGGGAGAGACAGAGGCCCAGCTTCCTGTGGGTCAGGGCTGGGGCTTCTGTGCGCGGCCCGGAGCCGCCTGCCGCTCGGCGCCCTGGGGGCCCGCCCCCAGCTCCGGCCGGGAGCTCCGGCCAAGCCCACAGCCGGCGCGCAGACACAGGCCGAGGGCCGGGCCTCTCCCTTCTCGGCCCTCGGAGAAGCTCCGGGGCGGCCGTCCGGCGTCACCTGGCCCGCAGCGGGTGCCAGCGGGGGCCCTGCGCGCTGCCGTCTGCGAAGTCCCACGTGGCCAGAGGGACGACCACCTCTCCCAGGAACACCCTCCGGGCCAGCGTGCCCGCGTGCCACACCGACACCTGCAGCCGCCGCGTCACCAGCTGGGCGGGCTCCACCTGGTACTGCGGGCGGACGGGGAGGACGGAGGGAGAGGATGGGACAGAGAGGACGGGATGGAGAGGACGGGAGGACGGGAGGACGGGGAGGAGGGGAGGAGGGGAGGAGGGGAGGAGGGGAGGAGGGGAGGAGGGGAGGACGGAGAGGATGGGAGGACGGGGAGGGGGGGAGGACGGGGAGGACAGGGAGGGGGGGAGGAGGGGAGGAGGGGGAGGACGGAGAGGACGGGGAGGACGGGATGGAGAAGACGGGGAGGAGGGGGAGGACAGGGAGGGAGGACGGGGAGGGGGGGAGGACGGGGAGGACAGGGAGGGGGGGAGGACGGGGAGGGGGGGAGGACGGGGAGGACGGGGAGGAGGGGAGGACGGGGAGGACGGGGAGGGGGGGAGGATGGAGAGGACGGGGAGGACAGGGAAGGGGGGAGGACGGGGGAGGACGGGGAGGACGGGGAGGACGGGGAGGATGGGACGGGGAGGACGGGGAGGGAGGACGGGGAGGATGGGGAGGCAGGACGGGGAGGACGGGGAGGATGGGAGGACGGGGAGGAGGGGGGAGGACGGGGAGGGGGGAGGATGGAGAGGATGGGGAGGACAGGGAGGACGGGGAGGACGGGAGGACAGGGAGGGGGGAAGACGGGGAGGACGGGGAGGACAGGGAGGGGGGAGGACGGGGAGGACGGGAGGACGGGGAGGGGGGGAGGACGGGGAGGATGGGACGGGGAGGACGGGGAGGGAGGACGGGGAGGATGGGGGGGGAGGACGGGGAGGACGGGGGGGAGGACGGGGAGGACGGGAGGACGGGGAGGACGGGGAGGAGGGGAGGAGGGGAGGACGGGGGGAGGACGGGGAGGACGGGGAGGACGGGGAGGGACGGGAGGAGGGAGGGGAGGAGGGGAGGACGGGAGGAGGGAGGACGGGGAGGACGGGAGGAGGGGAGGACGGGGAGGACGGGGAGGACGGGGAGGACGGGGAGGATGGGAGGACGGGGAGGACGGGGAGGAGGGGGAGGACGGGGAGGAGGGGAGGAGGGGAGGACGGGGAGGACAGGAGGACGGGGAGGACGGGGAGGACGGGGAGGGCGGGGAGGACGGGAGGACGGGAGGACAGGGAGGACGGGGAGGACGGGGAGGACGGGAGGACGGGAGGACGGGGAGGACGGGAGGACGGGGAGGAGGGGAGGACGGGGAGGAGGGGAGGACGGGGAGGAGGGGAGGACGGGGAGGACGGGGAGGACGGGGAGGACGGGGAGGACGGGGAGGACGGGAGGACGGGGAGGACAGGGAGGACGGGAGGACGGGGAGGGCAGGGAGGACGGGGAGGACGGGGAGGACGGGGAGGACGGGAGGACAGGGAGGAGGGGAGGACGGGGAGGAGGGGAGGACGGGGAGGAGGGGGAGGAGGGGAGGAGGGGAGGACGGGGAGGACAGGAGGACGGGGAGGGTAAACCAGTGAGATTCTGCGTGCATTCTAAACAAGTTAAACTTTAAAAATAAAACCATACAATTGACTTTGTATCTAAAATGGAGTCCATCCTCCATTTGATCTCATTTCATAAGATGTAAAACACGCACCTCCCTCTCCAGCTAAAAACCCCTGAGGGAAGGGCTCGGCAGTCAGGCGTCGACCTGGGAGGTGGGAGCAGACAGACCTCGCGAACTCCGCCGGCAGGTGCCTGAGCACAGCCCTGAAGGCCAGTCTCCTGGGCGGATCCCCCGTGGCCCCACAGCACCCAGCCCGCCCACCGCGGGGTCACAGCCGCTTTTCCTTGGGGCCCCTTGGGGCCCCGTGCACATCCATTTTGAGGACGGCTAGCCCACGGTGGGTCCAGTGTGCCTCGGTTTCCCCACGGGTACATGGGGAGTCTAACCCTGAGCTCAGGGGTGGACAAAGCAGGCGGCCACAGGAGGGTGACCATGTCGCCAGTGGGCCTGGGTGCCAGCTGCCGCCGCTGGGAGCTCCCAACGCCCTCTCCCCGGAGGCCAGGCCAGGCCGCCCCTTCCAGTCTTGGCGCACGGGGTCCGGGCTCTCAGCCTCCGTGGACACAGCTCCGTGAGTCTGGTCTGTCCTGCCAGTGTGGGGGCCCCCCATACTTCACCTGCGTCCCCCACACCTCACCCCCTCTCCCTCTCCACCCCGGCAAGGCGTCTCCCCATCCCCGTCCTCAACCGCTAACCACGTTTAGCACCGAGGACGGTGAACACCCAGACCCTTCCTCTGTCGGTTTTGTTGCTTAAAAGGAGGAAAACCTGCCGAAACCGGTTTGGCTCAGTGGATAGAGCATCGACCTGCAGACTGAAGGGTCCCGGGTTCGATTCCGGTCAAGGGCATGTACCTTGGTTGCAGGCACATCCCCAGTAGGGGGTGTGCAAGAGGCAGCTGATTGATGATTCTCTCTCATCGGTGTTTCTCTCTATCCTTCTCTCTTCCTCTCTGTGAAAAATCAATAAAATATATTTTTAAATAAATAAATAAATAAGGAGAGCCTGGGTTTGCGGTGAAGGGGCCATGCCTGCCCGCGGAGGCCCCTCTGGGAGGTACAGAACCCGCTGGGCAGCCTGGCGGTAAACGCCGAGAGGCAGCCAGCTTCTTTCCCGTTTTCTGGGAAATCATTCCCGGACAGGGGCGCAGACTCTGCCCTCTCCCGCAGGCCGGGGGGTGACGGGCGGCCAGCCCCGCAGGCGGGCAGGCGGGCGGCGGTGTCTGCGCTCCTGTGTGCTGACTCAGGGCCTGGAGGGGCCGTGTGGACTCTGGCCCTGAGCCCGCAGGACGGGAGGCGCGGCCGGTGAATGTTTGCCCAGGGCGGGCGTACCTTCAAGGTCTCCTGGAAGGTTGGGTCCACCGTGTTCCTCTGGACGGCCGTCTTGCGTTTGCCCTGGGCCGACCTGTCGGGCAGCAGGTAGGTCTTCACGTACCTGGAGGAGACGGGCGGTGAGGCTCCGGCCGGGAGGGAGAGGGACCTTTGCCCTGCCTGCTGCTGACTCGGGCACTGGTAGGAAGGGCCAGGGGCCGCCAAGGGCTGGGAAGGATGCCACGCTGGGGACACAGCTTCTGTTCATTCAGCCTGCACCCCTGGCACGTGTCTGGCTGGGTGATGCTGCCTGCTGTGCCCAGGCCACACCCCTGGAGTTGACGCTGCCCACCTGCCAGGCTCGGGGGGGGGGGGGGCGTGCACGGAGGAGGGGCTCCAGGGGGGCAAATTCTTGGATCTCTGGATGCAGAGGCCACGGGGCAGTCTGTCCTCTCCCACCTGTCCCTCCATCCAGCCCCCCACCCCACAGAAAAGCAGAAACGGGCAGTGTGTGCTGTCCCCTCGCGGGGCCTCCAGCCTGTCCTACTGACGTGCGGACCGGCCCTCTGCGGACTCTGGGTCTGGCTTCGCTGCCAGGGTGGCGGGGTGGCAGGACAGGCCACCTCCACCAGCACTCTGCCCCCCTGCCCAGGTCCTGGGACTTCCCTCCCTGGCTCTCTGGCAGCTTTGTCCATGGCAATGGCCCGCCCTCGCCCCCTGACCAGGAACCTATTCCCACCGGCTAGGAACAGGCTCAAGTGCCCCCTGGCGCTCCAGGCTCAGCCTCTTCCCTGTCAATCCGAGTTCTTGGGAAAGGACCCAGCTACCGGCTGGAGGGTCAAGCAGTCAGGGGGTTAGGCTTTTATATATAGATTAGCACTTTGGCCTGCCAGCCTGCCGAGTTTCTGATGAGAAATCTGCTGAAGAGCTTCCTGAGGGTTTGCTTCTTCTTGCTGCTTTCAAGATTCTCTGTCTTTCAAAAGTTTGATACTGTGTCTCAGGGTGGGCCACGTTGAGTTCATCTTACTTGGAGTTCAGTGTGCTTCTTTGATGTTTATATTCATGTATTTCATTAAATTTGGGAAGTTTTCAGCTACTTCTTCAAATATTCTCTCTGCCCCTTGCTCTCTCTCTTCTCCTTCTGAGACTCCCTCATGCCGATGTTGGTCCATTTGATGGTGGCCCTCAGGTCCCTTAGGTTCTGTTTGCTTTTCTTCGATCTTTTTTCTTTCTTTTTATCAAACCCAATAATTTCTGTTGACCTTTCTTCAAATTTACTGCTCCCTTTTCCCATCTGCTCATATCTGCCTTCAAATCTCACCAGTGAATTTTTCATTTCAGTAAATGGAGTTTAATTACTGCAGAATTTCTTTTTGGTTTCTATTTAGGTTCTCTATCTCTTTATTGATATTTCTACTTTGTTCACACATCATTTTCTTTCTTTCTTTCTTTCTTTTTAAAATATGTTTTATTGATTTTTACAGAGAGGGAGAGAGACAGAGAGCTAGAAACGTCGATGAGAGAGAAACATGAACCAGCTGCCTCTTGCACACCCCCTACCGGGGATGTGCCCGCAACCAAGGTACATGCCCTTGACCGGAATCGAACCTGGGACCTTTCAGTCCGCAGACCGACGCTCTACCACTGAGCCAAACCGGTTTCGGCTCACACATCATTTTCTTGACTTCCTCCACATCTTCTTCTAGTTCTTTGAGCATCTTTTTTTTTTTTTTTTTTTTTTTTTTTTTTTTTTTCTACAGAGAGGAGGAGAGAGAGATAGAGAGCTAGAAAAGTCAATGAGAGAGAAACATCGACCAGCTGCCTCTTGCACACCCCACACTGGGGATGTGCCTGCAACCAATGTACATGCCCTTGACCAGAATCGAACCTGGGACCTTTCAGTCCGCAGACCGATACTCTACCACTGAGCCACACCGGTTTCGGCTCTTTGAGCATCTTTAAGATAATGTTGCAAAGTCTTTGTTTAGTAAGCCTGTCATCAGATCTTTTTTAGGGACGGTTTCTGTTAATTTATTACTTCCCTTTGAATGAGCCATACTTTCCTGTTTCTTTATATGTCTTGCTATTTTTGTTGAATACTGGACATTTGTATCTAATAATGTGTTAACTCTGGAAATCAGATTCTCCTGCTTCCCACGGTTGTCTGTCTTTTGTTATTACTTTATTGATCCTGTGCCCAAGATAAGCCTGAGATGTAAGCTCAGGTTTTCTCCTGAGCCTGTACCTTTTCCTGAGCATACGTGTTTATTTTCTAATTTTTCTTGCTCTGCGGCTACTTTTGAATGTCCTAGTCTGTAGTGTCTGGCTTTCAAGAGGGGAAAAAAGTAAAAAATGAAAAAGGGAGACAAATGAGGGCACCGGTCCTTACAAACCCTGGAAGTTACACCAGCCGGAGGGGGAGCTGGTGGACGCTGGGAGGCGATGGAGCAGCACTGGCTGTGTGCCTCCTGGTCCGCGCTTCTGAGATCAGAATAGCAATCAGCAGCCAGAGACCAGACCCCGCTCTCCCACCCGGCCATCTTTCCGATGACAGGAAGTGCGCAGGAGGGAAGCCCCGAGTGGCTGACGCTCTATAAATAGTTGCTTGTCTTTGTTACTCATCAAGGAAATGCTTGTTAAAATAATGTGACACCATTTCACAGCCGTCGGTTGGAGAGAAATGTAATCTGTTTATAGATCGTGTGAGACAGGAATTTAATTTTATTTTTCCTCTCCGGGAAGTCAAATTTCCAACACCATTTAGGCACTGACTTCTAATAGCCCCTGGATGGTGTGACTTCCCGTAGATGCTCAGACCTGTGTCTGGACTTTTGATTCTGCTCTGCCAGCCTGCTCACCTAGCCTCGCACCAATAACACTGTCGAAGCTACTGGAACTTCACGATGGCTCTTGACTGTGTCTTTTTACTTTTTGTTCTTTTTATTATGATTGTGTTGGTTAATGTGGACTTTCCCTACCAACTTTGGGATTAATAGGCCTGTCCATCTCACATCAAAACGCAGGGAGGAACTCACGGGTTGCACTTCTTCCTCTTCTCCTCTCCGTAGGCAAGGTTCCTGCAGGCCTGGATGCATATTTCCAAAGAACGGGTTTCGAAGCAATAGCGGAGGGCAAATTCTATTTCTCCAGAGACAGCAGCGTTGTCAAAATTGCCAATCTCCGTGCAAGTGCTGTTAATGCTGATTAGACTTCCCTGAAATAAAAAGGAGAGGTAAGGTCAGTTACTTCACCGTCCATCAATTCTTTCGCAGTTCTGATTTCAAGGTGTCAGATAAATCAGAATCCACATGGAGCTCGCATCCCAACTCACATGACATTAACAGCTAGAGTTTGTTCTTGGCCAACGTAAGTCCCCACAGATTCTGGGCTAAGGAGATGGGGAATCCTCAAGCTCCTGTCCTGCCCAGATCTGGTCTCTGCCTAGCAACAAAGGTTACAGAATCTTATCCCTTATCACAGATCAGGGGGACACAGCAGACCTGTGTGCTTCTGCAGAGGTAAGCCTCAGAGGACAGCTAAGCCCAGGGCAGGAGGAGCCGAGGGGAAGCAGCAGTGTGGGGCTCAGTGCCGGCTGGGGAGGCGGTGGGACAGAGGTCTGTGCACGTGCTGGTTCTGCCATTCCCAGGGTTGAGGTGAGGACGAGTGGGAGGTAACAAAGGATGGAGGGAATGCAGTCAGAGACAACCACACAACATGTTTCCATTCTTCGGGACACCTACATGGAACCCAAAACCCACTCCCCAGTCAGGGCCCTGGAGGCTGAGCTGAAGTCAGTGAGCTGCGTGGAACAGACGCCTGTGCCTAAAACACAAAGCAAACCGCCTCATCGTTTGCTTAGACTAGGGGTGTCGAACTCAATCAGAGAAGGGGCCAAAATCTAAAATCCAGCCTAAATCGCGGGCCGAATGGTTTACTGAACAGTCATAAACTGTCATTGTGATGGAAACGCAGCGGAGTGCAGTGATGACAGCGCGGTGCGGGCCACATTGCAAGGCCTGGCGGGACGGATTTGGCCCGCGGGCCTTGTGTTTGACACATGTGGCTTAGACACTGGCCACCATGGCATGCAACCGCTCCCAGGCTGCCTCTGAGACAGGGAGCTCTAACCGCTCTCTCTGCGAACTCCCAGGCCGTCCTCCACGCTGCCAACGCCCTGGCGAGACACTGAGCAGAAGGCCCGGGCTCTCTCTCCCTCACTAGAGAGAGATAAAAACCAAACCAGCGCATCAGAGGGCCCGAGCCCGAGCTGACTAATGCCGAGAACACAACCAGCGCCAGCAGCCCAGCCTCTGGCTCTGAGAGGGCTACCTGCCAGCATGCACACCACCGTTCCCGTGGAAAACAACGTAAAAACACCCAGGCTCTGCAAGGCACGGCGTGGTGAGAGGAGGGTGAGTGAGGGTGAAAGCGAGAAGATGTGGGCCAGCTGGGCCCAGGCGTGAACGGCTTCGGAGATGCCGGGTGCTGGGGGGACGGGAATGGGGGGGAGGGAGGTGCTAAAAATTCTGATAATGAAACTGGCATCATAGCATGCGCCACTCGGGCTGCCAGACTGAATTGTATCGACCGACCCTCTGCCAGGAACAAAGGGAACTGGGAACAGACAGCAGACACTGCTGCATGGTATCGCAGAGCCACCACGTCGGCCAGGAAGCCGGGGCCGGTGACTGCGGAGACGGGAGCGTGGGGAGGTGAGCCTGGCACGCCCCCCCTCCACGGGACCACGTTTGTCCACAGAACACAGGGCAGGACTGCGAGGAGGGGGCGCCCTCAGCACTTCCCCTGAAGGTCATGGCTTATCTGTGTGGCTACCAGCCAGGCGCAGTGCCCTTGACTGTGACAGAGCCCGGGCGCCGACAGAAACCACCGCTACGCTGCAAACGCTGCGCTGGTCACTGAGGGCAGCCGGGGGCGCGGGCGCCGTGGCCAGATGGCGGCCTGTCAGCTGGGCTGGAGGTGGGCTCCGGAGGCAAGCAGCCCCGCGGGGGAGCACCCACAGCCCAGCTCCGGCTCCCACGGCCCCGGGGGCGACCCAGACGTCCACAGGGCCCCTCGGAGGACCCCGTTCCCGTTTGTGCCGGGTCGCACCGTCTGTGGGGGAGGCGCTGTGAGAGGCCTGGGCGGTGGGCGCAGCAGTTAGCACACAGTAGGCTTTCAGTAAATGGCACCTCTGAGGAGGATGGATGCAGCCTTCCTACTGGTGCCATTTAGGGGTCAGGCTCTACTCTAGGCACCTGGCAACTACAACAGACAGTCACCACCAGGCAGGCAGGCTGCAGGCTGCAGGGTGATAAGAGTGTGAATGGAGGAGGGGAGAGAGGAGAGCGGGGATGGGGGGCGGGTGACCTCCCTGTGAAGGTGACCGTGAGGCGAAGACTTGGGGGAAGGGAGGGAAGGAGCGTGGTGCCTGGGGAGGGCGCAGCCCCAGAAGCGCCCAGAGCAGGTGAGTCTGACCCTGTCCCGGGCCAGCGAGAGGCTGGTGTAGCTCAGTGGCATGAACAGGGGGGAGGGGGGTTAGCTCGTGTGGAGCCCGGGGAGCATCTGGGGTGGGTCCTGCCTATGTGGGGGTTTCCAGGCATAGAAAGCCGTGGCTTGGGCCCAGGGGGAGCTCAGGTCCAGGCAGTGCAGGAGAGCTGTGCTCGGGTTCGGAGAAGGCTCAGCGTGGGGATCCGGCTCAGCAGGCCCAGGCTGGCTGGGTCCCGGGTCCCTCGTCGCTGGGGCAGAGGCAAGCCCAGGAGTCTTAGAAAAGCCTCAGAGGCCACCCCTGCGGTCTCCCTGTTCCCATCCACACAGGCTTCAACCCCAGGAGAGAACATTCTAGAGCCGCCCTTGCCCCCATGGCCCTCAGGACCTCCATCTTTCTGAATTAGTCTCTCATATACAGCCTGGCCCCGAGGCACTGAGCGCCCTCCAACAGGAGCTGCAGAAAGGCCTGCAGGGCCACCCCAGCCCGCAGCCCAGGGGCATCTGAGATGCAGAGGGCAGGCCCACAGCCGAAGGCGACCCCCGCCAGCAGGAGGGGAGGGACCCCCATTGGGCTGTGTGAGCCGCCTCCGCGTTTGAGAGCCTCTCGGCTCCTGACCAGCGGATGCACAGACGCGGTGGGACCTGGATGCCGACACGGGCTCCTCCCCAGGGAAGGCGCAGGCGCAGCATCTCGGATGGAGCTGGAATGTGAGCCACAAGCTTGGTTTCCAGAACCACGACACCACGCCCCGGAATCTGCTCTCATTGCGTTCTCCATGCAACGCGGCGAAGTGAAAAGAGCAACTCTGGGCCCTGCTGGCGGGTAGCTCTCAGCTGAGCATCCGTCCCTCTGGAACCAAGAGGCGCTGTCTGAGTCCCGGTCAGGCACAGCTCCGTCCCCAGTAGAGGCGTGCAGGAGGCAGCGGTGGATGGTATTTTTCTTATCAGTGTTTCTCTCTATCCCTCTCCCTCCCCTCTCTCTAAAAAATCAATAAAAACATATTAAAAAAACACACAAACTTTGATACTCACTTCCTTGATGAGGACTCTGAAGTTTTAACGTTTTCATGATTCTTTCAGATCAGTGAGTTAATGAAAAGGCTTTGACTATAATTGAGGCCTCAGGACCCCTCCTCCAAGGATCTGTGGCAATATATCCCAATGTTGGGCATAAAGTGAGCATTTAATGCTTTTAAGTAAGAAAATGAGTAAATAAAAGGCCTGCCTATAAACAGACGCCATGTTTAAAGCAACCTTGAGAAAGCAGAGAAAGTGGGAGGAATAAACTGACTTCCAGACTTCCAACAAACGTGCAACGTCCGGGCAGAGGGGCACGGCGTGAGGGTGGACAGTGGTCAGTGCGCAGAACGGCAGCGGTCGCCACCTGGTGGGCCGAGGACCACTGGGGGCCCGTGAGGTCCGAAAGGTTGGCGGCTGCTGGACAGAGAAGATCCACACTTTTCCACCGGAGCCACCGAAGGCAACAGGGAAACTAGAGGTGTGGGTGTGTTTTTTGTTGTTGTTGTTGTTTTGTTTTGTTTTTAAAGATAAATGGTGCTAGAATAGCTGAGTGTCTGTAAGGAAAAAATGAACCTCAATTTCTACCTTACACCACTCACAATTATGAGTGAGTTGGATCAAGACTTATATCTGAAAGCTAAACTTTTATAATGCGTCTAGAAAAAAAAACATAGGAGAATATGTTTACAATTTGCAAGCAGCCAAGACAGAGAAACAGCCAAAAGAAAAATTTGATAAACTTCATCAAAATGAAAACCTTCTCACCCGAACACCCACTATATGGCACTAACCCCTCTCCGCCTGCACAGCAGGATCCTCTGAGGCGATGTGAGAAGCACCACCGGTGAGAGGAGGCTTCCCCGGCTCCCTGCCAGGTCAGGGGGCCTCCGGCACCGTCTCTGCTCCATCTCATTCCACTCCCGGCACGCGCCCGACCGGGCTGGCCGACCGAGCCAGCCGCGTGCCGACGGCAACCACGCCCGTGTCAGCTCTCGGACGGACGGACGGACGGACGGGGACTCACCTGCCTCGAGCCTCCTGAGAACGGAGTGCGGGGCGCGGGCTGGGCTGAGACGCCGTCCTCCTTGGAAACAGGGCTGGTGGAGCGCTTGGGACTCTCCTGGCTGAGAGGCATCAGGATGTCGGGGGCGCTGACCTTCTGGAAAAGAAAGCACAGGATGAGCACGGAGCCTGCACCCAGCTCACTCTTCACATGTGGCGACCACCGCGAGCACAGCCTGCATCTGTGGCCGAGGGCAGTAATGCCCGCACCCCCACAGGCACACTTCTGGTCAGGCAAAAGCCTACACACACGCACACACACACACCCACACACACGGCCTCTGTGACATACACACACACTCTCTCACACACACACACACACACACACACACACGGCCTCTGTGACATACACACACACACTCTCACACACACACACACACCAGCCTCTGTGACATACACACACACACACTCACACACACACCCACACACACACGGCCTCTGTGACATACACACACACACACACACACACACACGGCCTCTGTGACACACACACACACACACTCACACACACACACACACGGCCTCTGTGACATACACACACACTCACACACACACACATACACACCAGCCTCTGTGACATACACCCACACACACTCACACACACACACACACACACACACGGCCTCTGTGACATACACACACACACACACACACACACACACACACACACACACACACGGCCTCTGTGACATACACCCACACACTCACACCCACACACATACACACCAGCCTCTGTGACATACACACACACACACTCACACACACACACACACACACACACGGCCTCTGTGACACACACACACACACACACACACACACGGCCTCTGTGACATACATACACACACACACACACGGCCTCTGTGACATACACACACACACACACACACGGCCTCTGTGACATACACACACACACACACACACACACACGGCCTCTGTGACATACACACACACACACACACACACACACACGGCCTCTGTGACATACATACACACACACACACACGGCCTCTGTGACATACACACACACACACACACACACACACGGCCTCTGTGACATACACACACACACACACACACACAGCCTCTGTGACATACATACACACACACACACACACGGCCTCTGTGACATACACACACACACACACACACACACACGGCCTCTGTGACATACACACACACACACACACACACACACGGCCTCTGTGACATACACCCACACACACTCACACACACACACACACACACACGGCCTCTGTGACATACACACACACACTCACACACACACACACACACACACACACACCAGCCTCTGTGACATACACCCACACACACTCACACACACACACACCAGCCTCTGTGACATACACCCACACACACTCACACACACACACACACACACACACGGCCTCTGTGACACACACACACACACACACACACACACGGCCTCTGTGACATACACACACACACACTCACACACATCCGGCCTCTGTGACATACACACACATACACACACACACAGCCTCTGTGACATACATACACACACACACACACACACACACACACACCAGCCTCTGTGACATACACACACACTCACACACACACACACACATACACGGCCTCTGTGACATACACACACACATACACAGCCTCTGACATACACACACACACTCACACACATACACACATACCAGCCTCTATGACATATACACAAACACACACACACATGGCCTCTGTGACATACACACACACACTCACACACACTCACACACAAACATACCAGCCTCTGTGACATACATACATACACGCACACACACACACACACGGCCCTGAGCTGACATCACCAAGCCTTGGGTAGCCATGACCAGTATGGGTGGGTTACTAGGGATTAGTGAGTCTTAAAGAAATGGCCTCGGTAATGACCCTGGCATTTAATCACACGAAATGTAATATTCACTGGACAGAGTTTTAGCCCAGAACAAAGGGAAAAATCAAAACATATCTCTAACTCTTACACAACGACTCCTTATGAAAAGTGGGTACTTTTATAACGTGTACAGCTGCGCTCTCCAACATGGCTGCCACTGACCGCATGTGGCTACTTAATCCAGGTTCTAATTAACTGATATCAAATAAGATTATTAAGTTCAGCTCCTGAGCTGTCCCGGACACACTGCACATGCTTAGCAGCCATGTGAGGCCGTTGAACACAGCGGGCAGATGGAGCAGCTTCTGGCTGAAGACAAACACTTCCGAACGGGGGCTTTTTCAGAAGCAGCGCTTGAAAACAGCAGTCACACCACCGTCATAATCATCAGCCATGAAAAGCTAAGTGAGGATGGAGAGGACAAATGAAGAAAGAGATTACCTCCAAATTACTCTTTCTGCCCTCAACTCGATTGCATTGGGCCTGGGTTAAGCAGTGCCCTGTCCACCCCACCACCCTAAGCCCTGGGGGCAGAGAGAGGAGGAGTGGGAAGGGGAGGAGGAGAGGACGCAGAGGCTGTCCTCTGAGGTGTCCCTCGCCAGCAGGAAGCGGACACACCATTGAAATGGAGAGAGGAGAGGAAGGGGCCGGGCCTGGGCGTCAGTGGGACTGTCAGTGCTCGGGGTAGAAGGCTGGCTTCTAGGTCGGGCCCAGGGAGACTGGGAGAAGCACCGGGGCACACGTGCATATCCGGAATGATGACAAGTCCATCCTGTTCTGAAGCCCCGCCCACTCTGATTGCCTGAGGACCGCCCTGTGGCCGTGGTGCCCCCTGCTCCCCAGCACACTCTGGGGCGCGGGGGCGTTTGTCCGTCAGCACCCCAGCCACGGGAACACAGCTTGTCCAAGTGGCTGAGACGCTCCCCCCCACGGGACTTCTTCACGTGTCTCCATCGCTCCCTCGTTGGGGGCAGATCACAGAGACGGTGAGCGCCTGTGTGAGACCCACCCTGCACAGAGGCAAGGCTGATGGTCTAGCCCAGTGGTCGGCAAACTGCGGCTCGCGAGCCACACGCGGCTCTTTGGCCCCTTGAGTGTGGCTCTTCCACAAAATACCACGGCCTGGGCGAGTCCATTTTGGAGAAGTGGTGTTAGAAGAAGTTAAAGTTTAAAAAATGGGGCTCTCCAAAGAAATGTCAGTGGTTGTGCTGTTGATATCTGGTCCTGCTGACTGACGAGTTTGCCGACCACAGCGCTAGGGGATGGGAACTCAGGACACACGAAGCTGCTGCTCCCCCTCGGCGTGGTGGGCCGTGAGGCCGGCCGGCCGGCGGGACGCGGGGACCGGCACTGGGAATGAGGCTGAGCCCTGCCTGCTCTGACCTGTTTTCCAAGCGGACCTTGGTTCTGACCTTCCTCTGGCCCAGCCCCCACAGAGGCGCCCGTGATTGTGTGTGCAGGCCGCCTGGTGCTTTGTCATAAAGAACCGGAGTCTGGAGGAAGCAGGCTCAGGCTGCAGCCCGGCGTACCCTGGGGGCGGCGTTGATGGCGGTGTCACTCTGGCTCCGCCGCTCCGTCCGGCTGGCGCCCGGCCTGGGGTCCGTGCTGAGGAGCTGCTTGTCCGAGGTCATGTCGTTCTGGGACTTAGAGAGTTCTAGAAAGCAAGACCCGGGAGGTGGCAGGCAGGCACGCAGTCCCGAGGAGCCCTCCTGGGGGACTCTCTCACCCCCAGGGAGTGGGGGCCCATGGTGCCAGGAGAGCGGGTGAATGGAGGGCACCCAGCTCCGGGCCTGGGGGGAGGGGGCTCAGACAGACGGGGATCTCCAGACACTGCCTACTGGCTTGGGTCTGAGGAACGGGAGCCCTAAGAGGCGATCGAGGGCCGCCGTCAGGGCGGGAGTTACAGGAAGAGCTTCTGGCTCAGGGGGCTCTGCCTCCGGGCCGCACACCGGGTGTCCGACTGTCCAAACACGAAGACGGAGCCCAGCCAAGAGCCGGTGTTTTAGGGTCCTCCCCGAGATTTTTATTTACTTACTTACTTACTTGTTTATTTCAGAGAGAGGAGGGAGAAGAGAGAGAGAATCATCAGTGATGAGAGAGAGTCATTTATGGGCTACCTCCTGCATGCCCCCCACCGGGCCTGCAACCCGAGCATGCGCCCCTGGCTGGAATCGAACCTGTGACCCCTCAGTCCGCAGGCCAAGGCTCCGCCCATTGAGCCAAGCCAGGTAGGACCTCCCCAAGATTTTATAACCAATTGCAAGCGAGTTTGACTTTTTGAAGAGAGGCACCTATTTCAATAAGCAACACCGGAAAGATGGCTGTGCATGTGGTGTGCACGGTGACCGGGGTCTGTCTGGGAGAAGGATGTGTCACTGCCGTGAGAGGGCACCCAGCACGGGCCCCCTCCGAATCCCTGCTCCCTCCAGATCCTGCCGCTCTCGGGATGACGGGGAAGCTGTCTCTAGAGCAGCGGCCCAGGATGCTCCTGTCACTTCAAACTTCCACGTGGCCACATTTCAAACAGGAAAAGGTGCCCTAGCCGGTTTGGCTCAGTGGGTATGGACTGAAGGGGCCCCGGTTCCAGTCAAGTGCACAAGTCGGGGCTGGGGGTTGCGGGCTCGGTCCCCAGTGGGTGTGCAGGAGGCCCAACGGGGGTGTGCAGGAGGCAGCAGATCAATGATTCTCTAGAATCTTTGATATTTCTATCTCTCCTTCTCCCTTCCTCCCTGAAATCAATAAAAATATATTTTAAAAATATAAAAAAGGAAAAGGCAAAGGAATTTTAATACTATACTATATCCACACATTGCTCAAATATATAATTGATATTAAACTTACTAATGAAATTTTAAACTTAGTTCTGAATACTGTTTCCAGAATTCAGTGTGTTTTTCTTTTTTTTATAAAAATATATTTTAAATAAAAATATATTTTATTGATTTCTTACAGTGAGGAGGGGAGAGGGATAGAGAGCTAGAAACATTGATGAGAGAAACATCAACCAGCTGCCTCCTGCACACCCCCCACCAGTGATGTGCCTGCAACCAAGGTACATGTCCTTGACTGGAATTGAACCTGGGACCCCTCAGTCCCCAGACTGACATTCTACCCACTGAGCCAAACCAGTTTCGGCTTTACTATTAACTCAGGCACCACATCTCATGAGCCACCTGTGACCGTGGCTGCAGGTACCGTACGGGACTGCACAGCCCAGGACCCCTCTGGTCCCTGTCCCCCTCCCCCTCCCAGGAGCTGGCTGGGGTCCCTGTCCCCCTCCCCTCCCAGGAGCTGGCTGGGGTCCCTGTCCCCCTCCCCTCCCAGGAGCTGGCTGGGGTCCCTGTCCCCCTCCCCTCCCAGGAGCTGGCTGGGGTCCCTGTCCCCCTCCCCTCCCAGGAGCTGGCTGGGGTCCCTGTCTCCCTCCCCCTCCCAGTAGCTGGCCGAGGTACCGGAGGGCAGGGGAGGGCGAAGACTCATTTCCCCTGCAGGCATGGCAGCGCAGGTAGGGCCGGAGGCCATGGGAAGAGGCATCCACTTACTTTTCATGTGGGTGGTAACCGACAGGAACAAGTTTTCCACTGACTTATTAAACCCTCTACAGCGACCGAGTTCCTGCAGCTAAAACAGAGACAGGAGAGGGTGAGTTGTGTTTGAAGACGGGTGCGGGCCCAGCAGCCTCCCGGCTGCCAACCCCCAAACACCAGCAGGTGTGTGCTGTGGGCGCCCAGTGCGTGCGGGTGCTCGTGCTCGGTGGGTGTGGGTGCTCAGTGGGTGTGGGTGCTCGTGCTCGGTGGGTGTGGGTGCTCAGTGGGTGTGGGTGCTCGTGCTCGGTGGGTGCGGGTGCTCGTGCTCAGTGGGTGTGGGTGCTCGTGCCCGGTGGGTGTGGGTGCTCGTGCTCGGTGGGTGTGGGTGCTCGTGCTCGGTGGGTGCGGGTGCTCGTGCTCGGTGGGTGTGGGTGCTCAGTGGGTGTGGGTGCTCGTGCCCGGTGGGTGTGGGTGCTCGTGCCCGGTGGGTGTGGGTGCTCAGTGGGTGCGGGTGCTCGTGCCCGGTGGGTGTGGGTGCTCGTGCCCGGTGGGTGTGGGTGCTCGTGCCCGGTGGGTGTGGGCGCTCAGTGGGTGCGGGTGCTCGTGCTCGGTGGGTGTGGGTGCTCGTGCCCGGTGGGTGTGGGTGCTCGTGCTCAGTGGGTGCGGGTGCTCGTGCTCGGTGGGTGTGGGTGCTCGTGCTCAGTGGGTGCGGGTGCTCGTGCTCGGTGGGTGTGGGTGCTCGTGCCCGGTGGGTGCGGGTGCTCGTGCCCGATGGGTGCTCGTGCTCAGTGGGTGCGGGTGCTCGTGCTCGGTGGGTGTGGGTGCTCGGTGGGTGTGGGTGCTCAGTGGGCGCGGGTGCTCGTGCTCGGTGGGTGTGGGTGCTCAGTGGGTGTGGGTGCTCGTGCTCGGTGGGTGTGGGTGCTCAGTGGGTGTGGGTGCTCGTGCTCGGTGGGTGCGGGTGCTCGTGCTCGGTGGGTGTGGGTGCTCGGTGGGTGCGGGTGCTCGTGCTCAGTGGGTGCGGGTGCTCGTGCTCGGTGGGTGCGGGTGCTCGTGCTCGGTGGGTGTGGGTGCTCGTGCTCGGTGGGTGTGGGTGCTCGTGCTCGGTGGGTGTGGGTGCTCGTGCTCAGTGGGTGCGGGTGCTCGTGCTCGGTGGGTGTGGGTGCTCGTGCTCGGTGGGTGTGGGTGCTCGTGCTCGGTGGGTGTGGGTGCTCGTGCTCGGTGGGTGTGGGTGCTCGTGCTCAGTGGGTGCGGGTGCTCGTGCTCGGTGGGTGCGGGTGCTCGTGCTCGGTGGGTGTGGGTGCTCGTGCCCGGTGGGTGTGGGTGCTCGTGCCCGGTGGGTGTGGGTGCTCGTGCCCGGTGGGTGTGGGTGCTCGTGCTCAGTGGGTGTGGGTGCTCGTGCTCGGTGGGTGTGGGTGCTCAGTGGGTGCGGGTGCTCGTGCCCGGTGGGTGCGGGTGCTCGTGCCCGGTGGGTGTGGGCGCTCAGTGGGTGCGGGTGCTCGTGCTCGGTGGGTGTGGGTGCTCGTGCTCGGTGGGTGTGGGTGCTCGTGCCCGGTGGGTGTGGGTGCTCATGCTCAGTGGGTGTGGGTGCTCGTGCTCGGTGGGTGTGGGTGCTCGTGCTCGGTGGGTGTGGGTGCTCGTGCCCGGTGGGTGCGGGTGCTCGTGCTCGGTGGGTGTGGGTGCTCGTGCTCGGTGGGTGCGGGTGCTCGTGCTCGGTGGGTGTGGGTGCTCGTGCTCGGTGGGTGTGGGTGCTCGTGCTCGGTGGGTGTGGGTGCTCAGTGGGTGCGGGTGCTCGTGCTCGGTGGGTGTGGGTGCTCGTGCTCGGTGGGTGTGGGTGCTCATGCTCAGTGGGTGTGGGTGCTCGTGCCCGGTGGGTGTGGGTGCTCGTGCCCGGTGGGTGCGGGTGCTCGTGCCCGGTGGGTGCGGGTGCTCGTGCCCGGTGGGTGTGGGTGCTCGTGCCCGGTGGGTGTGGGTGCTCGTGCTCGGTGGGTGTGGGTGCTCGGTGCATGTAGGAGTGGGTGCATACACATCTGAGTGAAGAGGGCACTGTCCTCCTGAGGGACAGGCATCCTCCTTACTCAGCTTCCTCTGAGTTCTGACACCACACTGAAGGCAGGAGCGTTATCGAGGGGTTGTGGACAAGGTAACAATGACCTCTAGGAAACAGCGCCTGACATTTCATCGGCTGAAAATTGTACCCACGTCACCTGCTCCTGTCACCTCATGCCCACTCCCCACAGGAGGGATGCCAATCCGGGCAGAACGCATGTGTCACAGGGTTGACAGTGTGGAGCAGGCACCAGGTAACCAGCCTGAAGCCAAGGGTTAGTTCTGCCTCCAAAAATGAAAGAGGGAAGAAAAAGGAAGAGAAAACAACAGAAAAGAGATCACTTCCCTCTGCAAGTCTCATTCATCTATTCGTCCATGCATCCATCTGTCCATCCATCCATCCATCCATCCACCCTTCATCTATCCATGCATCCATCCATCCATACATTCGTCCATCCATCCATCCATCCATCCATCCATCTATCCATACATCCATGTATCTATTCAGTCATCCATCCATCCATCTATCCATCCATCCATTCATGCATCCATCTGTCCATCCATCAATCCAATTGTTCATGCATCTATCCATCTGTCCATGCATCCACTCTTCCACCCATCCACCCAGTAAATATGGCCTGGGCACAGTGCTGTTCAAAGAGCTTTGGAGAATTTAAAATCTCAAGGAGAAAGTAGAGCAGGATTTTGAAGGTCATTCCAGCATCTCAGTTTAAAATAAAAGAAAAACAATGTGTATATTTTCTCTCCCTGAGATATGTATATCTTTCTATACATAGATATAGTTACTCCCTTGCGTCCACAGGATACTAATAATGAAAATAATTAAGGCCATACATCTCCATGGCACATTAGTTTAGTTTCCAAGTATGAGCACAGGCATGGCTTTGTTCATTTCTCACATCAGTGGGGGCAAATCAGATGAGTATCCTTGTTTCCACCTTTCCGGGGGGACCCAGGGAGCTCCCCCAAACCACAGGGTTAATTTCTTTGGACAGAAAGTGGCCCTGGTCTATGTTAGCACCTGCAAACAATCGGAAGACACACACACACACACACACACACACACACACACATTTCTAGAGGCACCTGCTCTCGCGTTCCTGTGACTCAACCTGCATCTCCCTTTCGACCCCGGAGACCCTCCACAGACCCCACGTCCACTGGACAGAGCACAGGGCGGAGAGAGAGGCCACGAAGAGGCAAACGGGAAGAGATGGGGACAGGAGTGCAGGGGAGGGCGTGGGGTGCAGGCGAGGGCGTCTGGGAGAAGCAGATGAGCCGGTTGTTAATACAGATTGAAGCGCAGACACTGGCCGAGCCCGGCACTCCCTGACCCCCAGCTGGCCCTCGGTGATTGGCCTCATTCATGACCACTCCAGCCACAGCTGCCTCCCTCTGTCCTGGGCCCCCCCCTCCCCCTCCCGCCCCCCCCCCGCCCCCCCGGGGCGCCCGCAGGGAGACATACCCGGCCAGGGCTGCCGCTGCACCAGCTCTCACTGAGCGGCGGGGGCGTGGGCGGGACCACGGAGATGCTGCTGCTGAGGAACACGGGGAGACGGGGAGAGCGGGTCCCCGATGCCGCCCGTTAGTCTTCCAAGCACACAGCCCCGTCCGCTCCTGTCCCTGACTGCAACCTCTCTGTCTTCGGGGGCTTGTGCGGTTTTTAACTTCCTCGCTCTCAGCAGGTCCCCACTGGGATGTGCTGGGGGCCAGGGCACTGCGTCCGGGATCTGAATGTGGGAACGGCAGTGCAGGCCACGGGGGCGGTCCTGCGGCCTGGCGCGCTCCCCTGGAAACCCACGGCGGAAGCACAGGAAGGCCGTGGACGTAACAATCCACCACGAGAAGAGTCAGGAGCTTGTGCGCCAGCACTGGGGGAGGATGGGGAGTGGAAAAGGCCTGGGATCGGAGAATCTCACCACGGCCACAGAGCTGCTGTGGGAGCCGCCAGCGGCCTTCCGTGGGAGCCGGGAACCCCGTGTGCACTCTGCCAGCACCCCAACCGCTGCTGCCCAGAATTTTGTGTAAAGAAGTTCACATCTGCCTGGCTGGTGTGGCTCAGTGGTTGAGCAGTGACCTATGAGCCAGGAGGTCACGGTTTGATTGCCGGTCAGGGCACAGGCCTGGGCTGCAGGCTCCATCCCCAGGAGGGGGCGTGCAAGAGGCAGCGGACCAGTGATTCTCTTTCAACATTGATGTTTTTATGTCTTCCTCTCCCTTCCTCTCTGAAATCAATAAGGCTATATTATTCACGTCCACCGAAGTTCATTCCAAGATATCGGAGACATGAATGATTCATAAAAGTAAAGACTCTGTTTGGAAGCTCATTGAACGTGCCATCCAAAATAACACTTTGTTTCCTTAGGACAGTTCAGGAGGATTTAAGAAATAGGACAGCACATTTAGGGAGAAAACACCACGCTAGCATCCAGAAGGCTTTGCATAAGGATCTGGAAATATCTCTGAATTTTTTCCAGGAACTTTATCATTAAAAGTAAAAAAGTCACATTCCAAAGCCAGGGAAGGCCAGAGACCTCAGCGCCCAGCTCCGGGCTGCAGGGCGGCTGGCCGTCTGCAGAACTCACCTGAGCCTCTGGTAAGACTGCAAGAGCTTGGCGCCGGCGGTCTCGCACCTTCCTGGGGGAGAGCCAGCAAAGTCCGTGTCAGTGAGGGTGTAACTCAGACGACGCAACCACAGGCAGTAATACTAGCAAAGTGGCTATTTCTCTAATGTCACGTCTTACGATGAAAATGTAAAATTTAGGTAGATAGTAATGCTCCAGAATTAGATTGTTGTGATGGCTGCATAACCATAAATTTACTTTAAAAATCATTAGATCACGCACTTAAAAGAGGTGAAACTTAAGCCATGTAACATATATTCCAGCCAAGCTATTGTTACACACACACACACACACACACACACGCACGCGCACACACACACCATAATTGCTGGGAATGGCTGCTTTTATTAAACGTTGATATTGGATCGATTTTCTAAATCAGGAGAATATGAAAAACAGTTCAGGCTTCCAAGCTTCTATTTGCTCTTTGGAAATATTATATAATTGAATGACTATATTCACTTTAAGTGTTCCTTGTTATGGAGCTTAAGTTAATCTTTTAAAAAATGTAATCTCCTTGTTTCTAGCTATGGAGGCTAATAATTTCCTAAAGAAGACTGCATCTAACACAGAGCTCTTTTTGTTTCAAGGAAAGGGGATTTGTGATGTGTTAAGACCCCAAAATAGCGCTCAGAGTTCTGTGAACACAGTGTTTCCTGGGTCAGGGCAGGGGGGCGGGGCGGGGGGAGGTGGACGGAAGGCAGTGTCCCTGCTCAGGGCACAGCCCTGAGGGTCCACACTGCCCAACACCAGCCAGAGCCACCGGCCTGCCGTCCAGGAGTCCGTCGAGCTCCCATCGTGAGCGTTCGGGAGGTTTGACTCCAAAGAATGGCACATATTCACGTCCTCTCCGTGGCACAGGAGGAGGGCAGGTGTGAGCCTCTGGGAGGGGGCAGGCAGGTCTGACATTCAGTCAGCTGCCCCCTGACCCCTAACCGACTCTGAACTGTGCAGCCCACAGGGAGGACAGGCCTGCCAGCCTCTCAGAGACGGAGCCCCCTGCCCACGCACATTCCCGGGGGTCACGGTGCTCACTGATCCTAAAAGCAGTCTGCGCGCCCTCCTCCAAAGACACACTCCCTGCAACAGAAACGAGCCAGCAAAACCAGCTTGCAGAGGCGAGACCACGTCCATGGGAGCCACGGTCCCAGCAGGAGCAAAACGGCGTCCCGGCAGCCGGGACCGCAGAGAAACGGGCCAGAGGGAGAGAGAACAGCACCATGGCTCCAGCCTGCCCGGCCAAGCCCGAACCCAGGCTCGGTGCCCACGTGTGGAGCCTCCCGCGCTCGGGCTGTGTCACCTGCAGGCGGCTGCTCTGCCTCAGCCTCTGGACCCTGGGTTGTTCGTTTTAACAGCGTCCCAGGGGCACAGCCACCAGTTCCAGTCCGTCTCCCAGATGCGCTGCTATCACTCTACCACCCTCAGTGGCTCCCTACTGCCTCCTCCCAAAGTCCACGCCTCTGCATTGCCTGGCCTCGCCTCCCCCACACCCCACAGGCCTGTCTTTCTGCTCCAGCAACAGAATCGCTTCTTACTGCCCTACCTGCCCTGGGCCTTGCCTACTCACTCCTACCTACCCCCTCCATCTCCTGCTAACTGCCCAGGCGTTTCCACCCCCAGCCATGGTTCTAACGACCCAGCCTGAGGGCAACACTGGACTGGAGACAGCTCTCTGCTGCCCCCTGCTGCCTACTGCAACCTTGGCCTACGAGTTAGGTCACCCTTTCTTTTTAATCTTTTTTTTTATATTAAAGATATTTTCAGCCGAGACCGGTTTGGCTCAATGGATAGAGCGTCGGCTTGGGGACTGAAGGGCCCGGGTTCGATTCCGGTCAAGGGCATGTACCTTGGTTGCGGGCATATCCCCAGTGGGGGGTGTGCAAGAGGCAGCTGGTCGATGACTCTCTCTCATCGATGTTTCTAACTCTCTGTCTCTCTCCCTTCCTCTCTGTGCAAAATCAATAAAATATATTTAAAAAAAAATAAAATAAATAAAGATATTTTCAGAGAGGAAGAGAGAAGGAAAGAGAGGTAGACACATCAATGATGAGAGAGAGAACCACTGATCGGCTGCCTCCTGCACGCCCCCTACGGGGAATCGAGCCCACAACCTAGGCATGTACCATTGACCAGACCCTTCAATCCGCAGGCCGACACTCTGACCACTGAGCAACCAGACTAGGATGGTGACCTTTCTGTAAAGGTCAACTAGCAGACATTTTAAGTTCCCTGTCATGCAGGGGCTCTGTTCCAAGCCCTTCACCGCCCCAGGACAGCAATCATACACAACATGAAAGAGTGGTGTACTGGGAGCTGATAAAACTGGACACTGAAACCGAGTTTCATATACTTTTTATGTCACAAATATCCTTTTGACTTTTTGACCATTTGAAAACGTGAAACCCATTTTCAGCTCACAGGACAGACACCAGGCGGAGGGCCCGGTTGGGCAGACGTGTCCTGGTTTGCCGTGTCCCTGCTACTCCAGGTGTGGGCAGGGGGGTCTCCCCAGCAGCAGGGGGCGCTCCTCAGCAATGCAGAGCCCCAGGCCCCGCCTGCAGAATCAGAACCTGGTGCTGAACCTCAGAAGCCTGCCCCGTGGCTCTGTCCGATTTGCCATTTATTTTCCGTTTCTTTCTCTTCTGTTCCTTAGTTGTTTCTTACACACCATTTCCTTAACAAGCACTACATGTTTCCTTGTTAGTGTTCAAAGAAATCACCTCCTGGAGGGAAATGCTCAGAGAAGGATGTTCCTCCAGGCCCCCCTAGAGGCGGCTGCTGGGAGAAAGATCCTTCCCTCCCCCGCCCCCCGCCCTCGTCCCCCCTCAGACCTGCCCTGGCTTCCGGTGCAGGGCCCACCTACATGCCACAGGCCAAGGGGTGGCCCCACACCAGCGTGAGCATCCTCCGGAGTGCCAGAACCAGGAGAACGAATAAAACTGGGGGGGGGGACTATTACAGCTTCAGGACAGTAAGGTTTTGAATCACTCTTTGGCTCACATATGCAAGATGGAAAATCTCTCAAAAACGTTGACCTAAAACCAGTGAAGAATCATGGTGTCCTGTCATAAATGGCTTCAGACTGGGACTCCGGAGCCGTTAGGTAGATGTCAGTCCTCAGAGAAGTTCCGAGCGCAGCTAGCCCGGCCCAAACGCTGGCCAGGGTGAGGGAGCTGACAGCACAGCCGTGACCCCGCAGCGGCCGCCTCTCACAGCACAGACACCGTGAGCGGCACCTCCTGTGGAGGAGGCCTCACCGCGCCTGCAGCACCTGCTCTGCGCAAGAGAGAGAAGTGTTTCCCTGTGACTGAGTTCCCTCTCCTCTACCAGCAGCGGTTCTGGATGCTTCCTGTGAATGAGAATCTCTGGCCCTGACCGGTGTGGCTCAGTGGATAGGGTGTCTGCCTGCAGACTGATGCGTCCCGGGTTCGATTCCGATCAAGGGCATATACCTTGGTTGCGGGCATATCCCCAGTAGGAGATGTGCAGGAGGCAGCTGTTTCATGTTTCTCTCTCATTGATGTTTCTAGCTCTCTCTCCCTCTCCCTATCCTTCTCCCTCTCTGTAAAAAAATTAAAAAATAAATAAAAATTTAAAAATAAAAAAAACAACAACACACAAACACGTCATGGCTACGAAATATACGCATTTACAGCACGGAGCCAGGAGAGGGCGCTATCTCCATATGCTTAGCAAGTACCCAGGGGTGAGAATGAAGATCTGGGTTCAGGTTCCAGGTTCCAGGGATGTAGAAAGTGACCTTAGCAACTGCGTCAGCTCCGCTGCTCCCCCAGCGGCTCTCAGACGAACAGTGGTGAGCACAATCACTGGCAGCGTGTGAAATGCACACTCTTGGTCCCACCTGGTCCCACCGAGGCAGGACCTTGGAAGTGAAAATAGTTCAGAGCTGATCCCGGAGCCTCAGGAAACACCTTCTGTGCACAGGTGGCCGGGTGCCCCGTGGTGGTGGTGGGGAGGGGAGAGCGGGGGGGAGCAGGAGGGGACAGCGCCCGGTGCAGGCCAGCGCCCACGGCCCCACCTTCCTCACGCACCTCGGAGGAGCCAGGCCGCTGCAGGTAAGGAGCCATTTAAAGACAACACTAAACACCGAATTACAGTCTTAGAGGGAAGAACAGCCTACAACCAGAAAAGAAACATGGAAAGGAGGATATTTTAAAGGCCGCATGTACCACCTCCCTGCGAAATAAGGGACTGGGGCTCAGTTTTCCTGTTTCTGAATCTTGTTAATGGCTGGAGAGTTAGCATAACAAGCTGCCACAATTCATATGGATTCTTCCTCTTTGGACTATTTCTTACACCTTGTCTACGTTCAAGGACGTTTTAGAAGTCTCAGTAGCGCAGGGACACGCTTATGCAAAATTAAATTATAAGGCAGGACGGAAACCTGCAGACAGTCACACACGGCGATTCTTGTCCCCGCCCTGCAGAGCTTGGGGTGGGGCAGAAATGAGGGGGCTGAGCTATGAAGCCACGCCATGTCCAGAGACAAAGTAGGAGAGAGGTGACAGGGGCTTCGGGAAGGGCTGGGGAAGAGGAGTTACTGCTTAATGGGCACCAGAGTGTCCGTGTGGGAGGATGGAAAGTTCCGGAAATGGATGGCGGTGATGGTTACACAACAGTGTGATTGTACTTAATGTCACTGAACCATACACCTAACCGTGGTTAAAATGGTGAGTTTAATGCTACATGTGTTCTACCACAATAAAAATCATTCTTGCCAAAACTGGTTTAGCTCAGTGGATAGAGCGTCGGTCTGCGAACTGAAAGGTCCCAGGTTCGATTCCGGTCAAGGGCATGTATAATACCTTGGTTGCGGGCACATCCCCGGTAAGGGGTGTGCAGGAGGCAGCTGGTCGATATTTCTCTCTCATCGATGTTCCTAGCTCTCTGACCGTCTCCCTTCCTCTCTGTAAAAAATCAATAAAATATATTTTTTAAAAAAACATTCTTAAGGTACCGCAGTGCTCTGTCTTCTATAGAGAGCGCCTGGGAAGGCATTTTATACCCTGGTATTTGGGGTATAAAATAAACACCCTGTATGGCTCTGGGTCCCTGTCTCTCCATCAGAAGCAATGGCCCCACCCGGCCCCAGCTTTCCTTCCTTCTCTGTGTCTGTCTCTTTCTTTCATTTGCTCAATCCCCAGCCGCCCCTACTCAGGAACCGGACTGTTCTCTAGCCGCACTGGACTCGGAAAAGAGAAAACCCTCCATAGTCTTCGTCTCTCTGGGATCACCAGCTGGAAGCCGGCGCCTGGCCGAGGGGGTTCGCAGCCCTGAGGAGGGGTCCAGGCGGGAGGGGCCCGGCGCCTGCCGGCAGCACCGGCCCACAGGCTGTGCCCGAGCCCGAGAAAGCCGCCCCTCCGCCCAGGCCGGCCTCCCGCTGGACAGCCCGCGCAGAATAACGATGCTATGGACGCCACCACGTGCTTCCCCCAAAAGACAAGGACGCACAGAAGGAAGCCTGGGTTCGAGGGTCGACGCCTTCGTGGTGTAAACCGTCACCTTGCTTCCTGCCGCTGCTCAGGATGCGGGCTGAGAGGGCCCCCCCACACCTTCCCAACAGGAGCCCGAGACGCTGGGCAATGCCACCTTTCCGCTGTCACAGTGGCACGTGCCTCTGCCCGGCCCGCCCAGGAGCAGGCTGCAGTGCATCTGGGGGCGCCGTTCCCGCACAGATGGGGAGCAGTTAGAGGAACAGTGCTGGGCAGGCTGCCTGGGGCCAGCAGGACGGACGCAGAGGGAAAGGGCCGGGAACCCCGGGCTCAGGGCCGCAGACAGTGGCCGGGCCGGCTTCTCAGGTCCCATTGGAGAGAGAGAGAGAGAGAGAGAGAGAGAGAGTGTGTGTGTGTGTGTGTGTGTGTGTCCCGGTTCTTGCTCCTCGCAGACGCGTCCTGTGGTCTGAAGAGAAGAGTCAGTGTGGAATCCGGGGAGAACGTCGCGCAGAGAAACAAGCTGTGAGCTGGGCCTTTCCCTCAGAGCGGCCTTCCCCGGACCACGCACTGGGCGGATGCTAAATAGCTTATTTCTCTCCCCCAAACCATCACTTTTCCAGGAAAAAAAGTGTTTCCAGCAGCCCCACCCCTGCTGGGTCCATCAGGTCGGCTGTGACAGCGCAGGCTGCCGCCCTCAGCACTGAGCCGGGTGGTGCCCTCAGCACTGCCCTCAGCACTGCGCTGGGTGGTGCCCTCAGCACTGCGCTGGGTGGTGCCCTCAGCACTGCGCTGGGTGGTGCCCTCAGCACTGCACTGGGTGGTGCCCTCGGCACTGCGCCGGGTGGTGCCCTCAGCACTGCGCTGGGTGGTGCCCTCGGCACTGCGCCCAGGTGATGCCACCCTCAGCACTGCGCTGGGTGGTGCCCTCAGCACTGCGCTGGGTGGTGCCCTCAGCACTGCCCTCAGCACTGCGCTGGGTGGTGCCCTCAGCACTGCGCTGGGTGGTGCCCTCAGCACTGCGCTGGGTGGTGCTCTCAGCACTGCACTGGGTGGTGCCCTCGGCACTGCGCCGGGTGGTGCCCTCAGCACTGCGCTGGGTGGTGCCCTCGGCACTGCGCCCAGGTGATGCCACCCTCAGCACTGCGCTGGGTGGTGCCCTCAGCACTGCGCTGGGTGGTGCCCTCAGCACTGCGCTGGGTGGTGCTCTCAGCACTGCACTGGGTGGTGCTCTCAGCACTGCACTGGGTGGTGCCCTCGGCACTGCGCCGGGTGGTGCCCTCAGCACTGCGCTGGGTGGTGCCCTCGGCACTGCGCCCAGGTGATGCCGCCCTCAGCACTGCGCTGGGTGGTGCCCTCGGCACTGCGCCCAGGTGATGCCGCCCTCAGCACTGCGCTGGGTGGTGCCCTCAGCACTGCCCTCAGCACTGCGCTGGGTGGTGCCCTCGGCACTGCGCTGGGGGTGGTGCCGGGCAGGCCCCTGTGGGCACTCTCATCTGCCGTGGTCGTGGCCCCATAACCACAGGCATCTGCTCGGTTCTACCCCACCCACGCGCTCTCTTCGGTTATTCACACAATCGCCTCGATCGAGGTTTTGCTTCCTGAATGAGGCTTTGTGCTCGGGCTGCGAGGGGCTAACGGGACTCAGGGCACAGGTTCTGCGGGTGGAGGAGGGAGACCTGGCTCCCGGGAGCCGGCGTCAGGGAGGCTCCGGGGACCTGGGCAGAGGGCAGACACCACGATCCAAGGTGGGCACGTGGGGGGGGGGGCCGGACAGGAGCACCAAGAGCACGGCGTGCTGTCACTCACCATGTGAAGTGGTTTCTACTCAAAAGCTTTAAACCGAGTATTTTCACAAGAGGCATTTGTCATTTTTAACGTAAGGAAGATTTCAGAGCATTTACCTTCGGTTGGAAATTTTTTGGCCCGCTCCTCAAAGAACCACTCTCCGGTTTTGATCCTCACGTTTCTGAAAAGCAGCAGAGGGGAGCGTGGGCTGGGGCCGTGGCCCTCACAGGAGGGGGGCACCCGCAGTGTCCGCATGGCCAGGACCTCGGGGTTCGAACCTGCCCCCAGCCCCCACCTCCGCGGCTCCCGGTTGCAGCAGAGTGTGTGACCCTCTGTGATCTGTGCAGGAGCCGCCCCACTCCCGCCCCGGGGAAGCGCGGCCGCGGCCGCACTGCGAGCAGCTCTCCCCGCCCTTAGGCTCCGCGGACACCGGAGGCTTCGGGAGAGGCTTGTCCACGCCGCTGCAGCCGAGACAGGCCAGGCGAGCACCCGCCCTGCCTCGCCGGGCCCGGGAAGCCGAGCCCCGGAACCGAAGGAGGGTTCCTCCCTCGCCCCGCTGGCCGGCCGGAATGTGCCCACGAAGCTTCGGGGAGTTTCTGGGGCAGCGCGGGCTGAGCCGTTACATCCCGCAGAACCATGCCACGCTTCCCTGAAGCTCCTCACATCAACCAAAAGTGCACGGGGTTCAAGCAAGAACGGGGGAGGGGGCAGCAGACCCCGAGGAGCAGGGGTCTGGCCTTCCACTAACTGCATCCAGGTCCCTGTCACTATGACCGGCGAGCTCAGGGGCGCAGACGCCCCCATCAGCTCCTGGGGGCCTCCACGTCCTCGCCTGGGGCTCCGCCGCTGCCGTCACCTCCTGGGCACACACGGAGCAGCGCTGAAAGCGCTCAGCAATCCAGCACATGGATGCTCGCTGCATCTTCCATCCCAGCACACGGATCTCACTGCACCATCCATCCCAGCACACGGATGCTCGCTGCATCTTCCATCCCAGCACACGGATCTCACTGCACCATCCATCCCAGCACACGGATGCTCGCTGCATCTTCCATCCCAGCACACGGATGCTCGCTGCACCATCCATCCCAGCACACGGATGCCCACCGCACCATCCATCCCAGCACACGGATGCTCGCTGCATCTTCCATCCCAGCACACGGATGCTCGCTGCACCATCCATCCCAGCACATGGATGCCCATCGCACCATCCATCCCAGCACACGGATCTCACCGCACCATCCATCCCAGCACACGGATGCCCACCGCACCATCCATCCCAGCACACGGATCTCACTGCACCATCCATCCCAGCACACGGATGCTCGCTGCATCTTTCATCCCAGCACACGGATGCTCGCTGCATCTTCCATCCCAGCACACGGATGCCCACCGCATCATCCATCCCAGCACACGGATGCCCACCGCACCATCCATCCCAGCACATGGATGCTCGCTGCATCTTCCATCCCAGCACACGGATGCTCATAGCACCATCCATCCCAGCACACGGATCTCACCACACCATCCATCCCAGCACACGGATCTCACCACACCATCCATCCCAGCACACGGATGCTCATAGCACCATCCATCCCAGCACACGGATGCCCACCGCACCATCCATCCCAGCACACGGATGCTCGCTGCATCTTCCATCCCAGCACACGGATCTCACTACACCATCCATCCCAGCACACGGATGCTCATAGCACCATCCATCCCAGCACACGGATCTCACCGCACCATCCATCCCAGCACATGGATGCCCACCGCACCATCCATCCCAGCACACGGATGCTCACCGCACCATCCACCCCAGCACACGGATGCCCACCGCACCATCCACCCCAGCACACGATCTCACCGCACCATCCATCCCAGCACACGGATGCCCACCGCACCATCCATCCCAGCACACGGATGCCCACCGCACCATCCACCCCAGCACACGATCTCACCGCACCATCCATCCCAGCACACGGATGCCCACCGCACCATCCATCCCAGCACACGGATGCCCACCGCACCATCCACCCCAGCACACGATCTCACCACACCATCCACCCCAGCACATGGATGCCCACCGCACCATCCATCCCAGCACACGGATGCTCACCGCACCATCCATCCCAGCACACGGATGCCCATCGCACCATCCATCCCAGCACACGGATGCTCACCGCACCATCCATCCCAGCACACGGATGCCCACCGCACCATCCATCCCAGCACACGGATGCCCACCGCACCATCCATCCCAGCACACGGATGCCCACCGCACCATCCACCCCAGCACACGATCTCACTGCACCATCCATCCCAGCACACGGATGCCCACCGCACCGTGAACGGACAGCCCGAGCTGGTCTGGCCGCGGCCTGGCAGCAGGCAGGGAGCCGCACGGCCTGCGGGGGCGCGCGCACTGGCACCAGGTTTGTCGCGGTGAAGGGGGACGCTGTCCCTGCTCCTGCCCAGACACGTCAGCGCGGTGTCCCTGCCCACGTCTTCCCCGGCCCGGCCCCGGCCTCCGTCCGGCTGGGCTGTGCCTGCCGCTCCAGCAGGCCCGGCGGCCGTCTCCTCCAGGGCAAGTGGAGGGTGTCAGTGCTCCGCAGGACGTGCGGGCAGCCATAACCCTTTCCTTATCTTCATCACCACGCTCTCGCTCCAGCCTGGTTGCCTAGGATTTAATCGCCTCCATCAGCCTGTTTTCCGGTGCTGCGATCAGATGGCCGGCTGGCGTGGGGCCTCGCTGACGCTTTGTACGTGGGAACCGTCGCAGACGCGAGGAGAACGGTTTTCGCGGGACGCACGCATGCGGGACGGTGCCGGCTGGCCTGGCAGCGCTGTGATCTGGGCTCACAGCGGGCCCCTCCCCGGGGTCTCGCAGCGGGCCGGTCTGAGCCGGGCTGGAGGCTGCTCTGCCGCCAGCGCCCTGGGCAGCGCAGGCCGCACGGAAAGGTGCGCTTCAGCCGCGCGAGGAGCCTGCCGCACGGAGCCGGCTCCCCCTCGGCCTGACCTCGAGAGGACGACCGGCCGGGCCTGCTGGTGCGGCAGGCACAGCCCAGCCGGACGGAGGCCGTGGCCGGGAAAGACGGGCGGGTGGGCAGGGCCCCTGGGACTCTGAGGGACCAGGGGGACCGGCACCGGGGGAGCCTGAGACGGTGCCCCGAGGTCGGCCACGCCTCCTGCCCTCGGACCCGCGGCCGCGCACACTCGCCCCGGCAGCCGCGGGAAGTGGGGAGCCGCTGGGAATGAGGCGCGGGGAGGGCGGGCGCTGTGCCGAGCAGAGCCCGCGCACCGGCTTCACATTGCCAGGCTGAGGCCTGGGCAGAGCACGGGCCCCTGAACCGAGGCCTTGGGCTGCCATAACCTGCCGGCCACAGGGGGAGGTGCCCTCATTTCTCCCCCAGAACTCTTTCCCACACCCACCGCTTTGCTGAACTGTCTGCCGTTCTATCTCTTCTTGATGTTTTTACTGATTTTAGACAGGAAGGGAGAGGGAGGGAGAGAACATCAATGACCAGAGAGAATCACAGATCGGCTGCCTCCTGCGCACCCCTACTGAGGACCGAGCCCACAACGGGGCCTGTGCCCTGCCAGGAACTCGGACCCTGACCTCCTGTGCTCAGCCCCTGAGCACGCCGCCGGCTGTCCGTTGTCTCCGCCGCCACCAGCCTCACCGCCTCAGTCTGGCTTCACTACAAGGACCTCCACGTGGCCGTTCCCTGACCCCCCTCCCAGTCCCCGGCCCACAGCCCCTTCTCCTGGGTTTCCTCGGCAAAGCCCTAGGTCTCCCTCCGGGCCCAGCTCCCCGCGGCTCTGAAGACTGCCCTCACAGGAGCTCCCCGCAGACAGGACGGCAGAGGGGCGGGAGGGAGACCGGGTCTGGTCTTTCTGACCTCGGCCGTGGGCAGCTCTCCGGGGTCTCGCAGCTGTGCCCGCCTGGAGGCAGAACTGCGGTGGCCGCCCAGAGCACCACCTCGGGGTTTAAGGAGACACCCGGCGTCCTCGCAGTGAGTGGTGAGCAGCCCTCACCGTCCAGGCTGTTTCCTCTCCTCCCATGGCCGTCCGTCCCTCCTCCCGGCCTCCCCCTGCGGTCCCCCGGGGACACCTGCCCTGAGGGCAGGCCCTCGCTGCTCCTGGACGCCCTGGCCCAGGCCTGCAGGGCTGCAGCGCTGCTTTTCCATGGCCGCCCAGAGCGTCGCCTTTCTCGGTCCCTCGTCCTGTGCCCGCAGCACAGACCCACCGGTTCTGGGGAGCAGGTCTCAGGCCGAGGAAGAAGCAGGCGCAGGGACGGATGGGGCTCCAGCCCCCCTCCAGGCCCCAGTCCAGTTACGAATGTAAATGTTCTAAAGCACATGTGTCAAACACAAGGCCCGCGGACCAAATCCATCCCGCCAGGCCTTGCAATGTGGCCCGCACCGCGCTGTCATCACTGCACTCCGCTGCGTTTCCATCACAATGACAGTTTATGACTGTTCAGTAAACCATTCGGCCCGTGATTTAGGCTGGATTTTAGATTTTGGCCCCTTCTCTGATTGAGTTCGACACCCCTATTCTAAAGGTTTACCAGGCCTTCTTTGTGTGGCCATGCCTTGGCCAGTGTTGCCCAGTGGTTAGAGCGCCATCCCATGCACCAAAGGGCTGTGGGTTTGATTCCCAGTCAGGGCACATACCCAGGTTGCAGGTTGTGGCAACTGGTCAATGTTTCTCTCTCACATCGATGCTTCTCTTTCCCTCTTCCTCTCTAGAGTTACTGAAAAGCACAGCCTCAGGAGAGGATTAAAACAAACAAACAAACAAAAGAGGACGGCAGCCCACAGTGGACCGGCCGGAGCGAGCACAGAGGTTTGGGAGAGAGGAGCAGAGAGAAAGGGGGAGCGGGAGTCAGGGATCGGTTCGCTCTCCCGTCTGGGACCTGTGTGGGCTCACACAGGGCGCTGCAGCTGTCTTAGGTGTTGGGAAAACATCTTTGTTTCAAAAGGAGGAAGCTGGGGCTACAGAAATCACACCGGTGTCTCAGAGGGCAGCGCTTCAGCACGGCCCGCGCCTGGGAGGCGGCCCCAGCCCCGCCCCCCTCTGACTGTTTGCTTGTAGCTCACCATGAGGAGAAAATTCCTGAAGAACGGAATGCCTACTCTGCATTCATCACTAGACCTCAAACATGTATGGTTGATAAAACAGGAAGAGCGTTCCATCTTCCGAGGCATTTTTGGAATGAATGAATTGTGGTCACACACACACACACACACACACACACACACCGAGAACCCCGACCTGCAGGAGCGAGCACAGGTGTGGCCGCGGCTCTCCAGCCCAGGAAGGCCCAAGGCCTGGCTCCCCCAAACCCAGGAACCGGAGACGCAGGAGGGGGAGGCAGGCCGCTCCTGACTATGGACTTGGGGCCTCGGGTGGGCTGCACTTGTCGGGGGAGAGCGGCGGAGGCGTCAGGCCTGGGGCAGGGATGGACGTTTGGGAGACGCACGCCCGGAGGTCTCGGTGGCCAGCCCTCCTGCGTGAGGGAGGGCGTGGGCCGCCCGCTCACACTGACGGGGGCAGTGATGCTCCGCCCGGCCCTGGTTCGCAGCGGGCAGCTGCATTTCAGTGACCTCCGAGCCCCAGGAGTCCGCCCGGGGCAGGCCCTCTGCGACCATCCGCCCTGAACCTGAGGCGGGGCCCGGGACGCCGCCTGCTCACCTGCCCTCGTAGCACACGGTGCACCTCCAGAGGCGGGGCCGGCCCAGGAACACGCGGCAGGCGGGGCACACGCAGTGGCTGCAGCCCGGGCACACGGCGCCGCGGTTCAGCAGCCGCCCCAGCGCGCTCCGGCAGCGGGCACAGGCCTTCTCCGGGGGCCGCGGGCCCCGCCCGCCTCTCCAGCGCAGCTGCTGCAGGTGCGCCCTCAGCTTCCTGCGGAGAGGGCTGTCAGACCCGCCGAGCCGCACACCCTCCCCACACCCGGCCCCACCGGCAAGCGCCAGCCCCCCGGCAAGCGACAGGGGCTGGTCCCCCCCGCCCAGGGCCCCGCCACGGCCCATCCGGAGGCACAGAGGGCTGTCCCTGTGAAACAGGGACGGGAGAACCTCATCCAGGGCTGCTGGGACGGCGAAGGGCAAAGCATAAGCAACAGGCTTGGCACAGCGCTAACCGGTGTGGCTCAGTGGATAGAGTGTCAGTCTGCGGACTCAAGGGTCCCAGGTTCGATTCCGGTCAAGGGCATGTACCTTGGTTGGAGGCACATCCCCAGTAGGGAGTGTGCAGGAGGCAGCTGATGGATGTTTCTCTCTCATTGGTGTTCCTAACTATCACTCTCCCTTCCTCTCTGTAAAAAATCAATAAAATGCATTAAAAAAAAAGAAAAGAAAGAGGCCTGCTGCGGAATGTCTGGGTTCATCCCTTCGCGCCCAAAGCGCATTGAAGTGACAGGCAAGGACAGGGAGAGGAGAGGAAAAGTAAAACCCGGACTATGACACCCAGTGCCAGGGCCAGGCACGGAGGCCTGTGACACCCCGTGCCTGCCTGTACTGTCCTCAGTGCCAGTGCGACGGCTAACGGATGCTCTGCTCTGACCGTCTCCGGTGGCCACGCCCCCCGGCAGCAGCCCTGGGCAGAGGGCGAACTCGTGGGACCCACGACGGGCCCTTCACCAGGACTCTCTCTGAAATGTCTGTGAGCTGCCCTTATAGAGAGAAGCCAATTCCAGGAACAAGCGCACACCCCCGTCAGCCTCTCCCCGGAACCGGGACCTCAGAACACACCGTCCCGCCCCGGGGCCTCGTTCTTCGTGGATTCCCAAAGTGGCGCTCTAACCAGCGGTGGCCACGGGTGGCCCGTGAGGTCCGAAAGGGTGGCAACCGCTGCTCTGAGCCACGGAGCCACGGAGGGATCCCCACCATCAAAGAGGCCCTGTGCTCAGCTGCTCCAGTGCTCACTGGAGGGAAGAGTGAGCCCATCCGAGTCTGGGGCGAGCAGGTGAGGACGAAGAACACCCTCCTTCCAGGTGGCAGGACGCCTCCCTGCCCCCTCAGCACCGGTCCGCAGGGTGCTCGGGGCGTGTTCTCCTGGCAGACCCGAGAGCTCCCGGCCGCAGCCCAGCCTTCACCGCCGGCCTCCACCCCAGGCCCACAGCGTGGATGGACCAGCATCGGTGTCCTGAACCCCCGCCCCACTCGAAGGCGGCGGGCACGGCTCTGAGGTGCCCCAGCTCTGCCTCCTTAGCTGCTGCCTGACCACAAACAGCTGTGCAAAGACGGAGGCAGAGAGGAAAGAGCTGCCAGTGGGCAAACCGGCCGGAACAGGCCGGGCAGGTTCCTGTTCTCCTCCTCCTTTCCTCACGGCCAAAGTGAGAGAAAGAAAAAAAAAAAAAAATAGAAGGAAAGTAATAAAAATAGAAGAGGAAAAGAAGGAAGAAAAGACAGGGATGGATCCCAGTAAATGTGCTGTTTCCCAGCTGCTTCCTTCCTTGTGCCTTCAGGGGCCACGAAAAATAAGTCAGGAAAACCCTGCCCCGGGGGGTGCTGGGAGCCTGCCAGCTTCCCTGGAGTTATTCCTGCAAAGCAGGCAGAGGTGCCCCCAAACGGCACCATTCCAAGTGAACAGCCAGCGGCAGCCTCTGTGCCCCGCCCCTGCCCCCCGCCGCCCCCCGCCGCCCTGGGGCACCGTCAGACCAGCGGGTGCGGGGGTGCGGGGAGAGCCCCACCCGGGACCCCAGGGGCGCCTACCGGACCCGCTCCTCCTCCACGCTCTGCACCGCCCGGTCCCGGTGCAGCACACGGAGGATGGCCTCCCGCTCCGGCTCCTGCAGGGCGTCCAGGCTGACTTCCTGGGCCATCTTGCCGCTGCCGCCGTGGACGTGGACGTGGACGTGGATGGGGGGAGCTACCCTGCTCGGCCGGCGCCCTGTGCGGGGAGGGGCCGTGTCCAGCAGCCCGCGGTCTGTTCTGGGCAGCGCTCCCGCGCCGTTCCCTGGCGCCCGCTGCCCGTGGCTCTGCTTCTGCTCTGTACCTGTCGCCCTCCTCGACGGACAGATGGACGGACGAACGGGCAGACAGATGGACAGATGGACGGGCGGAGAGCCTCGGCCCCCGGGCGCTCTCACGGGTCCGCCGCAGCCTCTGGCGTGTCTTTCTCCGAGGGCTTGGCAGTGGCTCTAGGCGGGCACCGGCCCAGCACGCAGATAACTTCTGCGAAGCAGATGCAATCTCTGATCTGAGGGCTAAACTGGAAGCAGGGAGGTGTCCGTGACTCAGAGGCCAACTGTCCCCTGCAAACAGCTGCTGGTCGGTCGCCAGGAAGGACGGCGGGAAGCCAGCCGGCTCAGTGCCTGGGGAGAGAATCACAGTGTCAGGCGCCTGCCCGTGGCCTGCAGCCTCGCCTCCGGGCAGCCCTCCCTCCGGGCAGCCCTCCCTCCCTCCGGGCAGCCCTCCCTCCCTCCGGGCAGCCCTCCCTCCGGGCAGCCCTCCCTCCCTCCGGGCAGCCCTCCCTCCGGGCAGCCCTCCCTCCCTCCGGGCAGCCCTCCCTCCGGGCAGCCCTCCCTCCCTCCGGGCAGCCCTCCCTCCCTCCGGGCAGCCCTCCCTCCCTCCGGGCAGCCCTCCCTCCGGGCAGCCCTCCCTCCGGGCAGCCCTTCAGTCTTCTGCCCGGTGGCGTCCGGGGATTTTAAATCTCACTGAGTAGGCCTCGTGTTTCCAAAGGCCTCCAACTCCTGAACCCAACTTTTCCTGGTTTGACTGCTGCCTGCTCAGCGGCCAGAGGTGGGGAGGGGGTCTGTGTCCAATACCGTCCTCCTCATTGAAGACACATCAGCAGAGCAATCTCCGCGGGGCCAGCTATCGTTTTTACAATTAACCTCAGGACTCAGAAAGGTGACCGGTTAGGGAAGCGGGAGAGGCGGCTCGTCAGCCACGTGTGGGCCTCGTGGTTCCACCAGCTGCCGGGTGGTCCTGTCCCTGCGAACACGCGTGGAAGGCTCTGCCCGCACTGCTCCTACTCCTGTTTGCTCGGAACCAGTGGCCGGGGGCACCGTCCCCTTCAGGCTGCTTCCCCACACCGGGAAGAGGCTGGGCGTCGCTGAGACGCCGGGCGGAGGCCATGATGGGATGTCTTCCTACAGCGCCGTCTGTCATCACACCTCCGTGAAGCCTGAGTGACGGCACTGCCTCCGAGTGCGGGAGAGGCCGACCCCCTGGGCCTCCTACAGAACCCCACCATTGTCCCTGCACCCCACCGCGAATGGGGGGGGGGTGAGGGGAGCGGTGAGTGAGCCCAAGGATTGTTCTCTAAGCAGTGACTCCTAACCCTTGTTTCTTTAAGTCTTTATATTTAAAGGTGGACAACTTTCCCTATTTAAACGCATACAATGAAATACAGTGAGCGGCCGAGAGAATCGACAACTGAGTGACACCGACACCCCAGCACCACTCAGGAGGAGGTCTCCCCGGCCACGGGGATTTACCCCAAACCGGCCCGTCGCCGCGGAGATCCGGGCGTCAGTCGGGCTCAAACACGGACCCAGCATCGCCGGCCCCGCCCTCCGCCCACCAGCTGGGACAGAGCGAGGAGACCGGCCTGTTCCCAGCTGCCGTCTCCCTCTCTCTCTCTCTCCAGCGAGGCCGCCAGGGAGCCATGCCGTGACTGGGGTTGCAGCGGGCAGCAGGGTGGGGCGGGGGCCCCCAAACCCAGCCTGTCCTCCAGTCCCTGCAGGCCCAGTGGGACAGGGCATCGGACAGGCACGGTGTGCACGGCCCCGGGGGAGCCAGCGTCCAACAGCCCGAGGTTACCCGCCTGCTCCCCGCCGGGCACTCGGCAGGGAGGCCCCAGAGTAAGAAAGGCCCCGTCCTCGCACCCAGGAAGGCCACAGCCCACGACCTGTGAACCAGGCGTCACGCTTCCACTTCCGGTCAGGGCACCTGCCCGGGTTGTGGGCTCCATCCCCAGGGTGGGGCGTGCAGGAGGCAGCCGATCCATGATTCTCTCTTGTTCTTTCGCTCTCCCTCTCCCTTCCTCTCTGAAATCAGTAAAAATATATATTTTTAAAAGTTCACATGGTAGCCCTGACCGGTTTGGCTCAGTGGATAGAGTGTCGGCCTGCAGACTCAAGGGTCCCAGGTTCGATTCCAGTCAAGGGCATGGACCTTGGTTGCGGGCACATCCCCAGTGGGGAGGGTGCAGGAGGCAGCTGATGGATGTCTCTCTCTCATCGATGTTTCTGACTCTCTCTCCCTCTCCCTTCCGCTGTATAAAAAAGTCAATAAAAAATATATATATTTTTAAAAGTTCACATTGCAGCCAGCAAACAAGTGACAGCACGTAGGGAGAGTATGAAATCCTCGAGTCTCCACAGAGAAGGGTGCACCCACAGGACAGTGGAGATGCGAAGGGTGGGGGGAGAGGGTGAGGGGGTCAGGGGGCTTCCGGGGAACTCTGCCAGGGGAACCAGATACCCAATCACGTGCTTGCTTGCTTCCCTCCACCTAAGAGCACTTGCATTTTGCTTGTAGAACTTGCTGGGGCGAGGTGGGGGGTGGGGGTGGAGGGAGTACAAGAAATGAGAGTCTGGGGGAGGGGGGATGGGAAAGCAAATGTGCTACCTGCAGGCTGTGCCCCCCCTCCCCATTCTCCCTCCTCCTGCCAGCTCTGAGCAGCTGGCCCTGGAATAAAGGAGAGAGAGACTCCCGCCTGGCCGGGGGTGGGGGTGGGGAGGGCACTGACCTGACGGTGGAAATGTGGCACATTGGGGGGTGGGGCGTGTGTGAACGGGAGCGTCATCGATGCCGCAGGGGAAATGGCAGCCGGTCTCAGAGCCCCGAACCGCAGGCTCCGGGGCCCGGCTTGGCCACAGCCATTTCCTCGAGCAGCTGCAGGGCTGAGAGCACAGCCCGGCGCTGGGGAAGGTGGGGGCCAAGGTGACCTTGAGGGGCCGCGTGTGCACTCCTCACGGAAGCAGCGACTGCCACAGAGCGGCCTCACCCGGGAAGGGGGTGCGTGGAGAGCCACTCTCTCCCCTGTGGTCCCCCCGCCCGGCTCAGACGGGCACAGGCGACAGGTTCATTGCTGCAAAGGCCAGGCGCCCGAACGGACACGCGCGTGGATGAATTCCTCTTCTGTACGGTCACTCAGTCAGAGGGGGTGTTCTGAGAGCCGGTGAGTGCCGCCCTGCCAAGGCCCGGCACCTCGTTCTGTGTTTGTTTTCTTTAAGAATTCTCCACTCTCGGTGAGAAGTGACCATTTCAAAGCCCAGCCAGCGCACCGCTGATCCTGCTGTCTCTGCCCAGGCAGGAGGGCATATTGCCTCCCCCGCCCTCTCTCTCCCCCATACTGTGGTAGAATCGGAGTAAAACGCTGGCACAGGCGTCCATGAGTTTCATGGCTTATGCTTGACATCCTCTTCCGGATGGGTAAAGACATGAGAATCGATGTTATGTTATTGTCCTGGGGACTTGTCATGACCACTTACAACTGTACTAACAGCCATGATTTATTCAGCGCTTACTCTGGGCCAGACAGTGTGACACGCATTCTGCACACCTCAGTCCTCATTTCAACACACAGCAAACGTCATGGAGTAAGCACACCCGTTTTATAGATGAGAAGAGCGAGGCTCGGAGTGATTAAGTGATTTATCTGAAGTCACATTCTAATCAGGGTCCATGTAGCTCCAAAGCCTTCTGCTTGGTTTGGGCAGAGAAGTTCAGAAGTTAGACTCTCCCACGACTTTGGCCGGCTAAGCTTTTCTACACCAATTCCAGCTCAATGAGCCTTAATATCTGCTGTGCGTTTTCCTCGCGGAATCTCTCCTCTCGTCAAGGACTTTGTGTGTGCATTAAGGAAGTTTACTTGAAAGAAATTAAATTAGACCCCAGCTAATTTAACTTTTTTTAATTTTAAAATTGTATTTCTATTCCCCCTCCAAACGGAGGATTATGGTTGATCCAAACAAACGGAATTCATGCAGCAGACTCAGAGCAGATCAGTAATAACCTACACATACAAGCACTCACAGGCTAAGGAAGACCACTCTGTACCACCGCCTAAAAAATCCACACCCTTTTTGTTTTAAGTAACTAACGTACTTCCTCCATATCATCTAAATCATTATTATTCTGAATTCAAATGGATGCGATTCAATAAAGTGACAAGCCATCCTTTCTTTAAGTTACCATTGGTTTTGTTCCCCACCTTTTAAGGCCCTCGATCTAAGAGAAGTTCCCGTAGTGTCATCTCTACTCACCCGGCCCCCACACGGCCTGCCCCGCGCTGTCCCGGACGCTCAGCCTGCCTTGGATTCAGCTGCGAGAGGAGCTGCCAGAGGAGTCCGCTCCGAAGAGGAGGAAGTCCATCTTGCTTCGAGTCAGGACCACTGACGTGTTTCTCTTTCCTTCCTGTTGGGCTCGGGGCTGAAGCGTGTACCCCCGGCTGCTCCCCGCCCCCCGCCCCCCCCGCTCTGTGGCTACCCCACATCCCCGAGGGCCCCGAGAACAAAGCCACCCCAAACCACACCCAGGAACTCTCAGATGCCAACAGTTTCCATTTTCGTCTGGAGGAAAGGCTGAGCCGTGCTGCTGAAATGTCTCACCCCACCAAGAAAACCCCCAGAGAGCAGCGGCTCCAGATCTCAACCGTCCCCTCCCTGCAGGGTTCCACATGAGCGTCAATGTAAATGACTGCGTCGCAAGCATCAGCTGCCAACGCAAACATCCTTTTAGAACAATTTTGGCATCGACTCCTTTTTTTTTTTTTTAATTGCATTGCCGTTTAGCACACATACAGGAACATGATACAAATCACAAGCACAGCTTGATAAGGTTTCCCAAAGTGAACACGTCTACCGAGAAACTGAACTTGTTGGGCCGGTGGTTGAGCGTGGACCTATGAACCAGGAGGTCACGGTTTGATTCCCGGTCAGGGCACAGGCCCAGGTGGTGGGCTCCATCCCCAGGTGGGGCGTGCAGGAGGCAGCTGATGGATGATTCTCTTTCATCATTGATGTTTCTCTCTCTCTCTGAAATCAATAAAACATCTATTTTTAAAAAAGAACTGAACTTTAACAGCACCCTGGAAGTTCACATTGCAGCATTATATTTTATTGTGTGAACATCTAAA